ATATTTTGAAAGAGATGTACCCTAGCTCAGAAAAATGTTATTGAATAGGTTAATAGTGTTGTAATGAAACACTTCTTCTAATTAAAAAAATATATATTTTATTGAAAAAAAAAAAAACCAAAAAACAAAAAAAAGGTGTATACAGTGTTCCACCCTTGTAATCCCAGCAGCACAGGGGAGACTTGAGATAGGTAGATCCCTGGGACTCACTGGCTGGCTAATCTAGCCCACTTGGCCATGTACAGTCAGGTCAAGGAGAGACCTCTGTCTCAAAAAAAGCAGACAGGGAGGGAGCGTCACCTGATAATGGTACCCAAGGTTATCCTTTTGCCTACATACACACATGAACATTCATACACGTATGCATACATGCACACGTGTATGAGTACACACATACACACAAAAAGGTTCAATTTCATCATTTCCAAATCATTACTATCTGTTGTCTCACTACTAAAGAATGATGTAGGGGGCTGGAGAGATGGCTCAGTGGTTGCTCTTGCAGAAGACCCAGGTTTGAATCCCAGCACCCACATGGCAGCTAACAACTGTCCATAACTCCAGTCCCAGGGGATCCAACAGCCTCTTCTGACCTCAGCAGTTATTGCATGACACAGGTGCACTCACCTACATGCAGGCAATACACGCATACACATATAATAAAGATAAATACTGGGCATGGTGGTGCACGCCTGTCGTCCCAGCACTTGGGAGGCAGAGGCAGGTGGATCTCTTTGAGTTCGAGGCCAGCCTGGTCTACACAGTGAGTTCCAGGACAGCTGGGGCTACAGGGAGACCCTGTCTCAAAAGGACGAAAAAAAAAAAAAAAAAAAAAAAAAAGCTAAATAAAATTAAAAAAAGAACGATGTAGGAAAAAACCAAATCAATACAGAATTATGTGCTGTTTGCCAATAACCTTAATATTAAAGTAAAAGCGCAGAGCCCTACACAACACTTACAGGGTGATAAATATTGAAGAAACCTTTGCATGTTGGAAATTTGTAATTAGGATCAATTCTTCTTAATCCTCGGACAGTAAGGAACATTCCAATGGGAGATCCAAAGGCAAAGAATATTTCTGGTTTGTAGTTGAGCCGGGGGTATTTTACAGAGACCTGGAAGCAGAAGATAAAAGCATTTCTCATGAGGAATGAATTACATCTGTTCCTACCAACTACTAGACATAGTAGAAAAGGCTTTTTACCTGCCCAATGCCAACATCTAGATAGTCATCATTTTTAGTATCATCAGTACTACTGCTGAATTCAGAATCCTTGGGTATGTTCAGCTCTGAAACTGACGCTGTGGTTGGTCTGTTAATACCCTAAAGGATAAAAAATAGTTATGTGGAACTATCATCCACTAAAAATAGGTACTAGTATGAAAAGATGTCTGGAAAAGTTTTAGGTTTTTTTTTTTTTCTTGGCTTTTTGAGTCTCCAAGTAACCCCAGTTGGCCTGGAACTCACTATGTAGACCAGGCTGGCCTTGAACTCACAGAGATCCACCTGCCTCTGCCTTCCTAGTCCTGGGACTAAAAGCTCGCACCACCACACCTGGCTGGGAAGTTTAAAAATGACAGTTAATAATGCTATAAACAAGATAAAGCTACTAAAAAGAACAGTAGCCTTACATTATGCATTGACATCCCTATATGCTTTAAAATGACGGATATTGGGACTGGAGAGATGGCTAAGCAGTTGAGAATATTTGCTGTTCTTTCAGAAGACCAGGGTTCACGGTTCCCAGCACCCACATGGTGGCTAACAACTGTCCATAACTCCAGTTCCAGGGGATCTGACGCCCTCTTCTGGCCTCTGCAGGGCATCGTGCAACATGGTGCACTTACATACATACAAGCAAACCATACACATAAAAAGAATGTATGAAAATAAACAAAATGATGGCAGTTAGACACATCCATTTTGGCAGCAGTTGAAACTTTAGGCAACTATATGACAGACAACAGCAGCAGAGGACTGAGGGAATAAAGGCTGAAGACTGCTAAGGAGTTCTATGACATGTGTGCCATTGCAATCAAGGCAAGTAAGACGTTTCCCTGGATATACAATAAAATACAAATATTGGACCAAAACTTGGGTTTTACAAAAGAACTGAGCTGTCCAGCATGGTGGCCACTTGCCTTTAATTCCAGCATTTGGGAGGCAGGGGAAGGCATACACACATAAAAAAGAGGTGGGAAGGATAGTGATAAACCTTGACAGCATTTTGCTATATGAAAACACCAGTCACGAAAGGCTATATGCTGTAGAATTCCATTTACATGGACATCTACAATAAATTTAAAAAAAACCAAAAAAACATAAAATAGAAAACAACAGTGGCTGATAAAGGCTGGGGGGTATGATCACAAATTGCTATGGGATTTCCTCTGAGGGTGATGGAAATAATCTGAAATTAGTGGTAATGGTTTTAAAACTATGAAAGACTAAAAAAATGACTGGATGATATACTTTTTTTTTTTTGAGACAGGGTCTCCCTGTAGCCCCAGCTGTCCTAGAACTCATTATGTAGACCAGGCTGGCCTTAAACTCACAGAGATCCACCTGCCTCTGCCTCCCAAGTGCTGGGACCTGGATGATATACTTTCAAAAAGTGAACCTTAGGCTGGAGAGAGGGCTCAGCAGTTAAGAGCACTGACTGCTTATAGAGGACACGGGTTCAATTCCCAGATCCCACATGGCAGCTAACAACTGTCCATAACTCCACTTCCAGAGGATCCAACACCTTCTTCTGACATCCTTGGGCATTGGATGACATGGGTGAACTTACACACATGCAAGTAATACACTCAGATACATATAATAAAAATAATAAAATACATTAAAAAAAAGTGAATTACATTTCACCAAAGTTGCTATAAAAAGGAAAATCTGAATGGTAAGAGTTCTAAGGAGAAAGACTTTTGAAGCCAGTAACATTTTAAAGGATCTGGATAAAGAAAATGTGTTTAATTTCTAAAAGAAGAGCAAACGATTAATAGCCCAAACTACTTAGTCAGGGGTGGTAGCACATACCTGCAGTTCCCAGCTACCAGGACAGTAAGGCAGGGTTGCTTAAGCCTAGGAGTTTGAGGCTAACCTGAGATCTTGTTTCAACAGTAACAATAAAACCAATCTGGGCCTGGTGGTGCAGGTGTATAATCCCAGCCACTTGGACATCTGAGGCAGGAAGATTTATCAAATTCAGGATCTACTTCAGAGTGAACTGAAGGCTGCCTGGCCTAGAGTACGAGTTCAAGGCCAGCCAGACAACATCATCTTAAAATGTAAAGAGAGTGCTGGGGATATAGCTTGACACTAAAATGCTTGCCTAGTATGTGTGAGGCCCTATGTTTTGGTTTTGTATCAAAAACACATAGAAACCTACTTAGTTTTCCAGAGTATATATCTCACAAACCATAATGAATGTCAAAGAACTACCTCATAAGCAATATTAGGCACATACCACTGATTTTTTTCTGGTTCTAAAATGGTTTAGTATCTTCTTTCTTGGTCCTAAGGGAATCCCCATTTCCTGAAGATCTCTATCTGAACATAAAGCCTAGGCATGGAAAATAAAACATTTTATTTCTAGGAAAAATAAAATCAATTAACTGTCCTAGACTCTGAAAGAAGCAAGACCTAGTTACTCTTGTTCTTGGTTCTGTTACTGCTCTGGCTTCCTAATGGTTTAACGCACATGGAACTTTGAAAATCAAAGTCATGAAACAATTTAAGGAGGAACAGAAAAGTGTCAGTATTAACTACTGTGCCAATATTATTGTAATAAACCACTGTGTTAAAAAACAAACACACACCAGGCGTGGTGGTGCACACCTTTAATCCCAGCACTCCGGAGGCAAAGGCAGGCGGATCTCTGTGAGTTCAAGGCCAGCCTGGTCTACATAGTGAATCCAGGACAGCGGGGCTACAGGGAGACCGTCTCAAAAAGACCAAAAAAACAAAAACAAAAACAAAAACAAAAACAAAAACCAAACTAGAAAGGTGAGTATCTAATGATTTCATGTTGGAAAACACTCTTCGATTCCCATGCTTGCTTGGCTGTCAGTGACTTTCGAGAAGGATTACACTCCTTCTGATGAGCATAAGCAGTGAGAACCTTTGGCCAACACAGATGTACAACATACTAACATCAATTTTCAAATTAGGTGCCATTCATTTTCCTAGGGAAGTCTTCCTTCTCCTTTTTCTTTTTGGTCTTTTTGAGACATGGTCTCCCTGTAGCCTCAGATGTCCTGGAACTCACTATGTAGACCAGGCTGGCCTTGAACTCACAGAGATCCGCCTGCCTCTGCCTCCCAAGTGCTGGGACTAAAGGCGTGCGCCACCACGTCCAGCTCCTTCCTATTCTTATACCAGTGTACTCTTCCTTACAATTTGTAACTCATGCTCCTTTCTCACAGAACTATAAATACTGTGGGGTCAGTAGCCACATCCTCCTTACTGCCACTCTATCCCAAATGCCAGATCCTAATGAGCAGTTAATAAATACCCATTAAGTAAATGAATCACAAACCAGAAAAAGCAAGAGTTAGGATGGTTACAGATCATGACAGTCTTGCTCTTGTGTATTCTCTAAACTCTGCAACTCATTTAGAACTTACTCTATTGCTATGTGACTATCCATATGGAGCATCTGAACTTTGAACTTCCACAAAGCAAAGATCACTTTGAAGAACAAAAAAGTAAATAAACAATGCTAAAGATCATTATTGAGAAAATGTTTATAATTACAAAGCTTCTACAGGACAGGTTATTGGTAAACATGGAGATAAAAAAGTGGCATGTAATAAAGTTAAAAACTTTTTTTTTACCAGAGCATCTTTATCTACTTTCTCCTTCTCAAAGACATCAAAGAATTCAGAAAGGTGCAGCTTCTTCAAATCTGCTTCTAAGGTTAGTGCAGCTCCTTGATCCACAACAGGATGTAGTGAACCCTAAACATTGAATCATGAATCTTATTCACAAAATTCATTTAGTTCCCTGTATTAGCACTATTTTATAATTTGAAATGTATTATGTGAGACCTCATAATAATGTACTTTTTTTTTTTTTTTTTTTTTTTTTTTTTTTTTGGTCTTTTGGAGACAGGATCTCCCTGAAGCCCCAGCTGGCCTTGAACTCAGAGATCCCCCTGCCTCTGCCTCCTGAGTGCTGGGACTAAAGGCGTGTGACATGACACCAAGCTATAATAATGACTCTTAATTTAAATACTTTGTTTTTAGACCTCAAACTGACTATGAAGCTAAGGATGATATTGAACCCCTCATCCTTCTGCCTCTATCTCCCCAGTGCTACAATTATAAGCATTACCACCATCCCAGTTCTAAATAAACTTAGTTCCCCCAAATAAAAATAGAACAATGAACTCCAACTTTTTGCAACCTCAGTTAAAAATACATTTTTGAATGACTGTCAAATATTTTCCATCATCATTAGCAAACACTTACTGAGCTCTCAAGGAAACAGCTTAAGAAATAAAACAGTCGCTAAGACAGCACCCTTGTCCTGAATGAATTCATGACCCAAGAGGAGAAATGGGACATTTTCCTAAGAGAAAAATATGAGACCATTGTGCTGGACAGCTTCCATAGTCAGCTTAACACAACTGGGAAGAGGGAAGCTCAACAGGGAAATTTCCTCTACCAGGCTGGACTGTGGCCATGTCTGTGAGGCATTTTCTGGGTTGCTGACTGATGTGGGAGGGCGCAGCTCATGCCACTCCTGGGCAGGTGGTCCAGGGTTATATAAAAAAGTAGGCTGAGGGCTGGAGAGATTGGCTCAGTGGTTAAGAACACTGGTTGTTCTTGCAGAAGACCCAGGTTCAAATCCCAGCACCCACATGGCAGCTAATAACTGTCCATAACTGCAGTTCTGGGGGATCCAACAGCCTCTTCTGTCCTTTGCAGGCAGTGCATGACACGGGTGCACTTATCTATATGCAGGCATAACACTCACACACATAAAATAAAAATAATAAATTTTTTTTTTTAAAGTAGGCTGAGTACAGGCCAGAGGAGCAAGTCAGTAAGCAGTGTTCCTTCAGTCTCTGCCTCAGTTCCTGCCTCCAGGTTCCTGTCTTGGTTTCCCTTACTGATGGATTGTAACTGGGACATGTAAGCCAAATAAACCCTTTCCTCCTCAAGCTACTTTCGGTGTTTTTTTAAAAAAATATTTTATTATTTTTATTTTATGTGTACAAGTGTACTGCCTGCATGTATGTGAGCGCACCCATGTCGTGCAATGCTGCGGAGGTCAGAAGAGGTCTTTGGATTCCCCTGGAACTGGAGTTAAGGATGGTTCGTAGCCACCATGTGGGTGCTGGGAATCGAACCTAGGTCCTCTGCAAGAGCAGTCAGTGCCCTTAACTGCTGAGCCATCTCTCAAGCCTCTTGGTTAGTGTTTTATCACAGCAATAGAAAGCAACTAGGACAACAGTGAAATACTGCATCAATACTATCAATGATAAATAAATGTTCATTGGAACTTTTTCTTACTGGATTGTGTATGTGTGCATGTGCACGTGTATGTGTGCATGCATGTAGAGGTCATAGGCCAGCTTTTTTTTTATGTGTATGGTGTACTGCCTGCATGTATGTAAGTGCACCCATGTTGTGTAATGACTACAGAAGTCAGAAGAGGGCATAAAATCCCCTGGAACTTGAGTTATGGTTGGTTGTTAGCAGCTATGTAGGTTCTGGGATGCGAACCCAAGTCTTCTTCAAGAATAACCAGTGCTCTTAACCACTGAGACATCTCTTCAGCCCTGTAACTTTGTTTTATGAAGAGGCAAGTTTAAACATCAAGTTCCCCCTCTGCTTTCAAACATAATTTCTATATACCACCTAAGTCATTCTTCAAGTCTCTACATGCAAGCTCCAATTCCAATGATTCTATAATTCACGCACAAGTAGTGCAAATTTATAAAAGGCACCTATGCTTTTTTTCACAACATGGTAATTATTTGTAGAAGCAGATTACCATCTTATATCACCAAAGAATGATATAAGATAATTACCAAACTGCTAAAATAAATGTAGATTTAACATTATGACATCAGTCTAAACTCAGCTAAACACAAGAAGCTGAACATCTAAATATCTTTAGTATGAAATATTGTAAGAGAACCTATCTAGACTTCTAAATTACCTTTTCACTGTCAATATCCCCCAAAGAATCTTTCTGATTTGTTAGGATATCAAACAATATAAGCGAACCTATAAGTAAAATAGAAGAAGGGACAATGTCTAAGCATTAGCACTAAATGTCTGTCTTTTATATGAAAACTCTTAAGCCAATTATACATGTAAGAAAATCAACCCAAAGAATCTTTCCAGTTTACCACCACCCTTCCAACCCTTTCCAAATTCTTCATCAAAGACCACTTCTAGTTCTCTGCATCTGATACTGATGAAGGACACTGTGCTTCAGAAACAAGTGTCCTTTAAATGTAATAGTCCTCTCTGGCTACAGAGAATTCATTTGTTACCTAAACTATGACCAGCAATGGATACACCCCCTTTGAAATCAGGGTTCCTCTGTAGAAAAAGTGTGTATATTCGGTTCATTTCAGAAGCTACTGTGTCCACAATAGTCTGACAGTAGGTAGGACTGTTGTAGAAGAAGACATCCAGAATTGTATCATTAGTGAAGTGTCTGAGGCGATTAATGCTGGGCAAGGTTATCCGCTGCAGATCACTGAGGAGAAAAAAAGTTATTTTGAGCAGAAATAAAGAGGTTCCATTGCTATTTCTAAATTATTATTATTTAGCTATTCTAAAAGCTCAAATTCAAATGTTTGAGACAGCTATCAATTTGTAGGAAAAACAGGATGGAATGTTTAATGAAGCAAACAAGACAACCCAATCTCTTCACTGTAGAAATAACAAAAATATGGGTGGAGATAGAAGGTCAGATTCAACTAACTGCAATTTGTGGACTTTGTTTGGATCCCAATTTAGAAAACAATTTTGACAATGAGTATCACTATGAAGTCCAGGCTGGCCTAGAACACAAGGTCCTCCTGTGTCAGCCTCTCCAGTAAATGGAGTACAGGTGTGCACTATCACACCCAGGTTGGATCCAGTTTAAACTATGTGTGTACATTTGTGTTTGTATACATATATAAAAATATCAGGCAACCGGAAATTTGAATAAAAATTCAGTATTTAATGACACTTATTTGTCAGTTTGACAATTAAGCTATGGTTATTTTGGTTTTTTTTGGTCTTTGAGACAGCGTCTCCCTGTAGCCCCAGCTGTCCTGGAACTCACTATGTAGACCAGGCTGGCCTTGAATTCACAGAGATCCGCCTGCCTCTGCCTCCCGAGTGCTGGGATTAAAAGCATGCGCCACCACACCCGGCTAAGCTATCGTTATTTTTATATGCCTTTAAAATATAAAAACTGGGGGGCTGCAGAGATGGCTCAGCGGTTAAATTTTAAAAGATTTCTAAAAAATATTATTTTTAGTTCGTATGTATGAGTGTACCACCTGAATGTGTGTAAGTGCATCCATGTCATGCATGCCCAGTGGAGGTCAGAAGAGGGCATCGGATCACCTGGAACTGGAGTTATGGACGTACCACTGTTAGCCACCATGTGGGTGCTGGGAATCAAACCCAGGTCCTCTGCAAGAACAGCAAGTGCTCTTAACCACTGAGCCATCTCTCCAGTCCCAGAAAGACCATTCTCACAGTAATATAGCCAGTATATAATCACAAAGCTGTAGAACACTGAATAAGCTGTTTAAAAACCACAGTAGATCGCAGCACTCATGAGATAAAGGCATGAGGGTCTATATGAACTTGAAGCCAACATTATCTATGTAGTGAATTCCAGACCAGCCAAAGCTACATAGTGAGACTTTGTCTCAAAAAAAATAAAATAAAAATAAAATAAATAAATCATAGCAAAGAATGGCTCAATTAGCTGTTCAAATCCAGAAACTAAGAGTTTAAGCAGTTCCGAACACTGGTTCTTCTTGCAGAAGACCTGGGTTCGAATCCCAGCACCCACACGGGAGCTAACCACTCCAGTTCCAGGGAATCTGACAACCTCTTCCATCCTCCTCAGGTACTGCATGACACGGGTGCACTTACCTACATGTAGGCAATACATACAAAAAAAAAAAATAATAATAAATAAAATATTTTAAAAAAGAAGAGTTTAAGAAGTTACAGAACAGTTTCCACAGTAGGTTACTGCTGAGACAGCCCATTCATTATGTTAACAATGGAATGGAAACATTTTATTTAAAAGTGGTTATCTGCAAGTACCACAATCTGCAACTAGCTCCCCAAATTGCAGCTGATCTATTAATCAACATTGGTGTTTAAAAGTTAAGCATTCCAGGGCTGGAGAGATGGCTCAGCGATTAAGAACACTGACTGTTCTTGCAGAAGACCCGGTTCAAATTCCAGCACCCACATGGCAGCTAACAACTGTCCGTAACTCCAGTTCCAGGGGATCCAACAGCCTCTTCTGTCCTCTGCGGGCATTGCATGACACGGGTGCACTTACATACATGTAGGCAATACACACATACACATAAAATAAAATAAAATTGAAAAAAAAAAGAAAGTAAGCCAGACATGGTGGTACACCCCTTTAGTCCCAGAACTTGGGAGGCAGGAGATGGATCTTTTTGAGTTCTAGGCCAGCTGGAGCTAGTGAGACCTCGTCTCAAAAAGACCAAAAATAGGGGCTGGAGAGATGGCTCAGCAGCTAAGAGCACTGACTGTTCTTGCAGAGGACCCGGGTTCGATTCCCCACACCCACATGGCAGCTACAAGCCTTCCTTAACTCCAGTTCCAAGGGAATCCGAAGCCCTCTTCTGACCTCCATGGCACTGCATGACAGGGGTACAACTCACATACATGCAGGCAATACATTCAATACACATAAAATATTTTATGTGTATGCGTGTATTGCCTGATGTAGGTAAGTGCACCCGTGTCGTGCAATGCCCATGGAGGTCAGAAGAGGCTGTCGGATCCCCTGGGACTGGAGTTACGGATAGTTGTTAGCTGCCATGTGGGTGCTGGGATTCGAACCCGTGTCTTCTGCAAGAACAACCAGTGTTCTTAACCGCTGGGCCATCTCTCCAGTCCTCAGGTATTTTTTTAAAACAGGATCTCACTGTGTAGCTCAGGCTGGCTTTGAACTCTCGATCCTCCTGCCTTAGCTTCCCAGTATTGGGATTACAGACATGTACTGTATCATCATGCCCAGCTTCAATATAGAATTTTTTTTAAACCAGACCTGGGTGTGGTGGCACACGCCTTTAGTCCCACCACTCAGGAGGCAGAGGCAGGCAGATCTCTGAGTTTGAGGCCAGCCTAGTCTCTATAGTGAATCAGGCCAACTGTGGCTACAGGGAGACCCTATCTCGAAAAGACCACAAAAAAAAAAAAAAAAAAAAAAAAAAAAGAGAGAAAAGAAAAGTTGAGAATAGCAGATGCCAGAGGCAAACATGGAAACCAATGCTAAATAATCTACACAAATTCTACTGTATCAATTATACATCAATTTACAAATGCTAATAATTTAGGGACCTTTCTTCCCCTTTTCCCTAAATGTGGACAAATATTATTTAAATACAATCACAAAAGAAACAAAAAGTCTTTGTATATCTTGGGATATGGGTGACTTCTGACACCTGAAGTTGGAAATATTTAGATGCTATAGGAAGACCACAATGCAGCCACAGTGTTAAAGACATAAGGAAACTGCCACATGTGGTGGCCTTTAATCCCAGCACTCGGGACGGGAGGCAGAAGAAGGCTGATCTCTGTGAGTTTGAGGCCAGCATGGCCTACATAGTGAGCTTCAGGCCAGCTGGGGCTACCCGGAGACTCTGTCTCAAAAGACCGAAAAAAAAAAAAAAGAGGAAACAAACGCCTGGGATGTGATGTGGTGGTAGAGTACTTGCATACTATGCACAAAGTCCTGGGTTCAATCCCTAGCATTAGAGAAAAAAAAAAAAAAAGAAAAAGGCACAGTGATATATAACTGTAATCCCAACACTAGACAGACTGAAGCACCAGGATCTTAGGTTCATACCCAGTTTGGCATATGAAGTGAAACTTTGTCTCAAGAAATAAAGTAATAAATTTTGTCTCAAGTAAACAGTATTTACTTTACAAAAAGTAAATAGTAGTGAACTAGGAGCTGAGGATGTAGCTTAGTCAGTAGAGTGCTTGCCTAGCATGCCTGTGGCCCCTGGGTTTGATCATCAACACTGATGCCTGCCTCTTCATTCCTGAACTTAGGAGGAGAAAACAGATCAGAAGCTCAAGGTCATCCTCAGCTACAAGGGAAGATCAAGCCTAGCCTGAGCTATATGAGAGCCTGCCTAAAAAAAAAAAATTTAGAAAAAAAGAGAACCAGTTGGGGCTGGAGAGATAGCTAAACAGTTAAGAGCACTGGCTGTTCTTGCTGAGAACCTGGGTTCAATTCCCAGCACCCAAATGGCAGTTAACAACCATCTGTAACTCCAGTTCCGGGGAATTTGATGCTCTCTTTAGACCTCTGCAGGCATTGCACAACATGGGTGCCACTTACAGACATACAGGCAAATACACATGAAATAAAAGTATTAAATAAAATTAAGTATACTGAAAAAGATATAGACAATTCTTTATTTTTTTATATTTTATTTATTATTTTTATTTATTTTTATTTTATGTGTATGCGTGTGTTGCCTGTATGTAGGTAAGTGCACCTGTGTCGTGCAATGCCTGCAGAGGACAGAAGAGATTGTCGGATCCCCTATAACTGGAGTTATGGATAGTTGTTAGCTGCCATGTGGGTGCTGGGATTTGAACCCGGGTCTTCTGCAAGAAAAGTCCATGTTCTTAACAGCTGGCGCTCTCTCTCCAGCCCGACAATTCTTTATTTTTAACCAAGAAGAGTTAAAAACAAAGACCTGACCAGCATTTAATACTTCTCCAATAAATTTTAAATATATAATCAGCTATAGCAGCAATGTCCTTAAGCATGCTGATGATGAGAAAATACTACAATCACAGTTAATAATTCAAGGCTGTAAGGTACTACTCACACATCCACACCAGTAGAATGCAGAGGACTATGCCAGTTGACTGGAAGAAACTCTACTCTTCCAATCTGCTGGTTTTCTTGAGCTTTCTTAAAATGTGTCTGTAGCAAGTTCAAGGAAACGGTGCGGAAATCATTAACTGGAAAAGAAAATTAATTTATGCATCAACAGTCAAGCAACTAATACACAAAATCAGGATGCAACAAATCATGTGACAGCACCCTCCTTAACTACATTTAGAGCACAAACTGAGCGGAGTAAAAAATGCTAAGGTTAAGGAAAAATCAGGAAGCTTTTAAAAGATGTTCCTTAGCTGGTCATGGTGGTGCATGCTTTTAATTCCAGCACTTGGAGGCAGAGGCAGGTGGATCTCTGGAAATTCAAAGCCAGCCTGGTCTACATAGTGAGTTTCAGGCCAACTGGGGCTACAAGGAGACCCTGTCTCAAAAAGACCAAAAAATAAAATAAAATAAAATAATAAAAGATGTTCCTTTAATACAAAGCTTGCTTTTACCACACAAAATAATTTTAGCAAAAGAAAAGCTGATTTCATGGGGCTGGAGAAACGGGTCAACAGTCAAGAGCACTTCCTGCTCTTGCAGAGGACCCAGGTTTGGTGCTCAGTACTCACGGGGTGATTAACAACCCTTTGTAACACCAGTTCCAGAGGATCCAACACCTCTGCTGTGCTCCACGGGCACCGCACGGACCTGATACACTCACACATGCAGGCAAAATACCCATACACACTAAATAAAACTTAAAAAAAAAAAAAAAAGGTGGTCAGGCATGGTGGCGCAGGCCTTTGATCTCAGCACTAGGGAGGCAGAGGCAAGCAGATCTCTGTGAGTTCAAGGCCAACCTGGGGCTACAGGGAGATCCTACCTCAAAAAAGAAAAGGTAACTTCAAAACTGTCATGGGAACTATTTCTTTTCTTTTTTTTTTTTTAACTGCATGACTACTCGTCAACCCATCTTGTAGTCAGGTTCTTATCTAACTGTGGTTTTTTTGTTTGTTTGTTTGTTTAGATACATCTGTGGTAGAAACAGAGGCAATTAACTGGCCTATAGAGATGGGTCAGTAGGAAAAGGCACTTGCTATCAGGTCTGACAGCCTAGCTCCATCACTGGGACTCAAATAGCAGGAGAGAACCAACTCCCACAAGCTGTCCTCCAATACGCACTATGGCACATAATGCTCCCTGGCCCCATACACAAAAATAAGTAACTGTTAAAAAGATTAAAAATTATTGTGTTGGACAACTTCAGTTGTCAACTTGACATATCTAGGAAAAGGGAACCTCAAAGAGGCTTTTCCTCTATTGGAATGGCCTGTAGCCAAATCTGTGAGGCATTTTCTTAATTGATAATTGGTGTGGGAGGGCCCAGCCCATTGTAGATGGTACACCCTTAGAGGCAAGTGGGCCTGGGTTGTGTAAGAAAGCAGGCTGAGGGGCTGGAGAGATGGCTTAGCAGTTAAGAGCACCGGCTGCTTTTTCAGAGGATCTGCAAGAGCAGCTGGTGCTCTTAACTGCTAAGCCATCTCTCCAGCCCCAAACTTTCTGGTTTTTAATGGCTATTACCACCAGAAGTGGTGGTGCACATTTAATCCCAACCCTTGGGAAGCAGAGGCAGGCTCTGTGAGACTGAGGTCAGCCTGGTCCAAATAGTGACTTCCAGGTGGGCTGGGTATCACCTAATACTTTATTTTAAAAAATATATACTGCTAGGGGCTGGAGAGATGGCTCAGTGGTTAAGAGCACTAACTGCTCTTGCAGAGGACCTGGGTTCAATTCCCAGCACCCACACGGCAGCTACAAACCATCCTCAACTCCAGTTCCAGGGGAATCCGAAGCCCTCTTCTGACCTCCATGGCACTGCACAACATTGGTGCACTCACATACATGCAGGCAATACACTCGTACACGTAAAATTAAAAAAAAATATATATATATTCAAAATTCCTATCATATCAACCTTAACCTTACAGAATATAATTCTACTTCACTCAGAATGATTACCAAGTACAATAAGGTTCCCTAAGTGGGACAGACTTTGAATACTATCAAGTTTTGAAGGTATTTTCTTTCCAAATGAAGTTATACTGTTGACTTAAATCTTGCAATTATGTATTAAGAGGATTATCATGATATGAATTACAAAAATAACAAGCTTGTACTATTCAATTCTCATCTTTACGGTTCTCTTTAAACTGGAATGGTTATGAATAGGCCGATTAAATCATAAAACAGTTTCATAGGAATTAAGGGCTTGTTCACTCATGGAAATTATCAGCACTTTAGGTCTAAGCTGGGAAGCTCACTCCCTTGTCACCTGTCTTTAGCTCTACAAATCTTCTTATGTAGCTAAGACCACAGACCAAATGACAGTGCTTTATCTCAGTTCACAGAAACATTGAGTCTCCCGAAATAATCTTTTATGCTCTGCACCTACCGCATTGTACAATGCTTCGAAAGCGGAGATCACATGCTGGTCCAATCCCATGGACTACAAAAACCAAGTGATCTATTTGTAAAGGTTCCCCTATACATAAAATTAAAAAGAAATATTCTATAATTATTCATGCATTCTAAAAATCAAGTATTCACAATAAACAGTTTATAAACATAAGCAAATTAAAATACAAATAGATAATTGAAAAGATATGTAGTTTTGTATTTAATTACTTAATAAAAATACATTAATTTTACTTTCTAACTCATTTTAAGTCCCTGAAATTTTTTTTCAGGTTTTGAAACCATTTTGAAATAACTGCAAGCTATAGAAAACTAGAAAAAATACTACAGAATTTCCCACATACTTTTTAAAAATTCAACTTCCATTTTTTAGAGTTTTTGTTTCTTTTGTGTTGATATAGGGTCTCAATGTAGCCCAAGATGGTCTTGAACTTGATACATAGCTGAGACTGACCTTGAACTCATCTTGTCTCCATCTCCCAAATGCTAGGATTATAGATATATTCCATTATACCTAGCTACAAATTCAGCTTCTGAAAAAATATCATTGCTATGTTTTCTCTTCATGGTGTGCACACACAGACACTTATTTTTCTGAACTATTTGGAAGCAGATTATATGCATCAGGTTTCATACAGTATTCCTTTTTAACCCTTTAATATATGCATTTCCTAAGAATGTGCCCCCATATAACCACAGTACAGTGATCAAATCCAGATATTAGATCGATAGATTTCTCTGACCTAATTATTCCACTTTTACCAATTATCCCAATAATATCTGCCATGCTTTTAAAGGTTGAAGTTTTAAACTGCCTTTTTACATTTTACTCTATTTTCTGTTTCTGAGACAGGATCTTTTATGAATGCAAGTTGGCCTAGAACGCCTCACTATGTATCCCCAGCATGGCCACAAACTGCAGATTCTTCTACTTGAGCCTAGTGCTGAGATGACAGGCATGTGCCACCAATGCCTGGGTTTAAACTCATCTTTTAAATTACAATAATTCTAAGATTTTGTTTAAGAAGCAAATCATTTATTCAAGACAAAAGATATTTTATGGGCTGGAGAGATGGCTCAGTGGTTAAGAGCACTGCCTGCTCTTGCAGAAGACCCAGGTTTGGTTCCCAGCACCCACATGGCAGGTAACAGCCTTCCTAACTCCAGTGCCAGGGAATCCAACGCCCTCTTCTGACCTCCAAGGACACTGAACAACATGGGTACCCTTAGAGGCAAGTGGGCCTGGGTTGTGTAAGAAAGCAGGCTGAGGGGCTGGAGAGATGGCTCAGTGGTTAAGAGCACTGCCTGCTCTTGCAGAAGACCCAGGTTTGGTTCCCAGCACCCACATGGCAGGTAACAGCCTTCCTAACTCCAGTGCCAGGGAATCCAACGCCCTCTTCTGACCTCCAAGGACACTGAACAACATGGGTACCCTTAGAGGCAAGTGGGCCTGGGTTGTGTAAGAAAGCAGGCTGAGGGGCTGGAGAGATGGCTCAGTGGTTAAGAGCACTGCCTGCTCTTGCAGAAGACCCAGGTTTGGTTCCCAGCACCCACATGGCAGGTAACAGCCTTCCTAACTCCAGTGCCAGGGAATCCAACGCCCTCTTCTGACCTCCAAGGACACTGAACAACATGGGTACCCTTAGAGGCAAGTGGGCCTGGGTTGTGTAAGAAAGCAGGCTGAGGGGCTGGAGAGATGGCTCAGTGGTTAAGAGCACTGCCTGCTCTTGCAGAAGACCCAGGTTTGGTTCCCAGCACCCACATGGCAGGTAACAGCCTTCCTAACTCCAGTGCCAGGGAATCCAACGCCCTCTTCTGACCTCCAAGGACACTGAACAACATGGGTACCCTTAGAGGCAAGTGGGCCTGGGTTGTGTAAGAAAGCAGGCTGAGGGGCTGGAGAGATGGCTCAGTGGTTAAGAGCACTGCCTGCTCTTGCAGAAGACCCAGGTTTGGTTCCCAGCACCCACATGGCAGGTAACAGCCTTCCTAACTCCAGTGCCAGGGAATCCAACGCCCTCTTCTGACCTCCAAGGACACTGAACAACATGGGTACCCTTAGAGGCAAGTGGGCCTGGGTTGTGTAAGAAAGCAGGCTGAGGGGCTGGAGAGATGGCTCAGTGGTTAAGAGCACTGCCTGCTCTTGCAGAAGACCCAGGTTTGGTTCCCAGCACCCACATGGCAGGTAACAGCCTTCCTAACTCCAGTGCCAGGGAATCCAACGCCCTCTTCTGACCTCCAAGGACACTGAACAACATGGGTACCCTTAGAGGCAAGTGGGCCTGGGTTGTGTAAGAAAGCAGGCTGAGGGGCTGGAGAGATGGCTCAGTGGTTAAGAGCACTGCCTGCTCTTGCAGAAGACCCAGGTTTGGTTCCCAGCACCCACATGGCAGGTAACAGCCTTCCTAACTCCAGTGCCAGGGAATCCAACGCCCTCTTCTGACCTCCAAGGACACTGAACAACATGGGTACCCTTAGAGGCAAGTGGGCCTGGGTTGTGTAAGAAAGCAGGCTGAGGGGCTGGAGAGATGGCTCAGTGGTTAAGAGCACTGCCTGCTCTTGCAGAAGACCCAGGTTTGGTTCCCAGCACCCACATGGCAGGTAACAGCCTTCCTAACTCCAGTGCCAGGGAATCCAACGCCCTCTTCTGACCTCCAAGGACACTGAACAACATGGGTACCCTTAGAGGCAAGTGGGCCTGGGTTGTGTAAGAAAGCAGGCTGAGGGGCTGGAGAGATGGCTCAGTGGTTAAGAGCACTGCCTGCTCTTGCAGAAGACCCAGGTTTGGTTCCCAGCACCCACATGGCAGGTAACAGCCTTCCTAACTCCAGTGCCAGGGAATCCAACGCCCTCTTCTGACCTCCAAGGACACTGAACAACATGGGTGCACTTACACACATGCAGGCAATACACTCATATACACAAAATGAAAAAATAGAACATTTTTCAAAAAGGCATTTTATAATCTAGCTAAATATGCTTAAAACGAATCATAAGCAACCCTAGATAGCTAGCAATAATCAAGTTCCATTTGAAAAAGTTTTCCTTAGCTGAAATGTTCAAGGACAGAAATTATCAGTCATAAACTTCTAGTTTAGTGGGAAGAATCAAACTTAAAAAAATTGGGACTAAATCAGTTCATCTTATTCTTTGTGACTTCCTGATTAGTAGCAATTTTTTTTAATTTTTTTTTCTTATTTTTTCTTAATATTTTACTTATTTTTATTTTATGTGTATGAGTGTATTGCCTGCATGTAAGTACATTCATGTTGTGCAATGCCCACGGAGGTCAGAAGAGGGAGTCGGATTCCCTGGAATTGGAGTTATGGACAATTGTTAGTGGCTATATGGGTGAAGTGAACCCGAGTCCTCTACAAGAGCAGTCAGTGCTCTGAACAGCTGAGCCATTTTTCCAGCCCCTTGATTTATTTTTATTAATTTATGTGTATGAGTGTTTTGGCTGCATGTGCATACACCAGTGTCATATAAAGCCTGTGGAGGCCAGAAGAGGGCATAGCATCCTTGGAACTGAAGTTACAGACGGTTGTTACCCACCACATGGGTGCTGGGAATCAAATTCTGGTTCTTAACAGCTAAGCCATCTTTCCAGCCCCTAGTAGCAATTTAAAATGAATTTTTATATCTGTTAACAATTCTTAACATGGGTGCTGGGAATCAAACCCAGGGTCTTAACAGCTGAGCCTTGTCTCCAGCCCCCAGTAGCAATTTTAAATGCATTTTTTAAAAAAACAGACACATTTAATGAAACTATTGAAAACAACAACAACAACAACAACAACAACAACAACAACAACAACAAAAAACAACAGTACACATGGGAACATGCCAGAGGCTACAAGTCCCAAGCTTCACTCACCCTGGGGTTTGACAATTACACTGGGGCTCCTGTCATCCATTGTCTCCCTTCCCCAGGGCCCAAGATCTACCTCTGGCAATGCTCATTCACTTCAGAGGACTACCTCAAGGAGTCACACACTGTGAGGGTTAAATGGATTTTTATATCTGTTACAATTCTTTGCATTGGAGTACAGGGGTACATGCCTGTAATCCCAGCACTTGGGTGGTGACGGCCGGAATAGAGCAGCCTGAGCTAACAACAGTGAGATCATGTCTCAAAAAAAAAAAAAAAACAAAAAAACAAAACCAGCTGAGGCAATGGCTTAGTGGGTAAGCATGAAAAACTGTGTTTGAATCCCCAGCAGTTGTGCATGGCTTGTGCATACTTATAACCCCAGCATGGGGGTGGGAGAATGGAGACAGGTAGATCCCCGGAGCTCAGTGGCGAGCCAGCCTAGGCTAAATGGTTAATGTATGGTTCAGTGAGAGACCCTGTCTCAAGGGACAAGATACCTGATGGCCTCCCCAGGTGTGTTCCCAGGCATATATACCTGCATGCGTATACATTCAAATCAGGGCTGGAAATGTAACTCAACTTGTAGAGTGCTTGCCTAGCCTATCAATACTTAGGTTTGATCCCCAGCACCACATAAACTAGGCAAGGTGGGGCACATCTGTAATTTAACAAGAGAGAGGTTGATGCAGGAGGATCAGAAGTTCAAGATCATTCTCAGCTATGTAGTGAGTTTGAGGTCAGCCCTAGCCTACCTAACACCTTGTATCAAAATAAACAAACAAAAAAAAAAAACCAAAAACAAAAGATGAAGCGACTGATGTCAATCTTAACTCAAAGCTAATATGGTTAAAGATGATTTTTAAACAAGCCTTGAAGTAATACAAATCAAAGAAAAAGAAACCACAATTTAAAGAATGAACAAATATATCAAAATGTAAGAAAATACAAATAATTGACATTACCACAATGAATGTCAACCGAGATGTTCTCAACTCCTCTCTTTACTGTTCTTGGTCGACCTTGCTCAGTGGGTGTTGAACCCCATTCATCAGACCCTGCAATTGGCTGGTAATGTACCATGAGCTTAAATAGAAAAGATCAGAGCAAAGCAAAACAATCTACATTAATTTATATATAATTGTGTGTGTGTGTGTGTGTGTGTGTGTGTGTGTCTTTTTGAGACAGGGTTTCCCTGTAGCCCCAGCTATCCTGGAACTCACTATGTAGACCAGGCTGGCCTTGAACTCACAGAGATCCGCCTGCATTTGCCTCCTGAGTACTGGGATTAAAGGCGTGCACCACCATACCCAGCTGTATATAAAACATCTTAACCCCTAAAAGATTTTAGGGTTACCTCTTCAGAGGGGAGAATGTTAGAGTAGCAAAAGACCCCATTTAAAAAAAAAGAAAAGAAAAAGAGCAAGCACATGAAGTTCTCAGAAAACAGTGATGGGAGATATGGGAGGAGTTGGAGTAGAGGGGAGGGAGTGGGCGTGGATTTGATCAAAACACCTTATATGCATGTATGAAATTTTCAGTAATTTTCTTTGTTTAAAAAAACCATTATAATAAAGTCCTAACTGTTCATTATGATCTTTAATCCTCAAATATTTGAATATGTGTGGTCGGCTAAACTCTCAGCACTAAAGTACTGATTTCTAACCAGCTTTTCAGTAATTCAGCTCTGAAATGCACGTCCTTGTCATTATCTCACTCTTGCTCTCATTTTGTCCCCACCCGTCCTATCCCCTCATTTGTTGAAAATGGTTATTTTCACATATTTTCATTTTATTTCTAATACATCCAATTTCTGTTTTAAAATACAAAAAAATTAGAACATATCTTTTATATAGTCAAATCTCAACTAGAGCTTTAATATTTAGCAATTCCAAAAGTTTGAAACGAGAATTCTTAAAATATATTAAGTAGAGGCGGGCGTGGTGGCGCACGCCTTTAATCCCAGCACTCTGGAGGCAGAGACAGGCGGATCTCTGTGAGTTCAAGGCCGGCCTGGTCTACATAGTGAGTTCCAGGACAGCTGGGGCTACAGGAAGACCCTGTCTCAAAAAAAAAAGACAAAAAGAAATATATTAAGTAGATCTTTCAATAATGTCCTATACAAGGGAAGGGGGCATAAAGATGATTTTATGTATGAAATACACAAAAATTCAACAGAAAGTTAAAAAAAAATAATATGTGGACATGCTCACATAATATACTGATGATATTCTTAATCTATGTTGGCATTAATTTTCCATAAAAAAAATTCTGAGCCAGGCATGGTGGGGCTCACCTTTAATCCCAGTTCTGGGGAGGCAGAGGCAGGCAGATCTCTTTAAGTTCCAGGCCAGCTGGGGCTACAGGGAGACTGTGTCTCAAAAAAAAAAAAAGAAAAATTCTTTTTTAGTGTTGGGAGCTGGCTCACTAGGTAAAGCACTTGTTACTATCACACCATAGACATGAGATCAAATCCCCAGAGCCACGTAATGCTGGACACACTAGCATACGCATCTGTAATCTCAGTGCTCCTACGATGAAATGGGAGGCAGATCATAGGATTCTGGGAGGTATAGTGAGGAGAATCCTCAAAAGCTTATGGGCTAGCTAGGCTGGCATAGAGAGTGAACAAGAGACCCTGTCTCAAATAAGGTGAAAGAAGACTGATATTCAAGATTATCCTCTGACTTCCACAAGCATGCTATAGCACATGTATGCTGGCATTCACACATCATACCCTGTACACACACACACACACACACACACACAAAGCTCAATGGAGTAAATAATGGTAGTTACTGTAAGTTTTAAGTTTTATAACGATGAAATCAACATCAAATTTGCGAAAGGTTATCCTACATGGAGTTCGTAGAATAAAAGGTCTATCAGTTCTCCTTAGTAAAGCATTAACCTTTAATCTCAGCACTAGTGAAACACTTTAATTCACTTTACCTTTGGGTTGTGTAATATAATAATTTCTCTGTTTGGAGATTCAAGTTTCTTTTTCCACTCATCCAGAGTTACAGCAAGCATGTAAGTTTCCTTAAAAGAAAATATATTAGACTTCAACAACTTTTCTATTAAAAGTGAATTATTAAAAAAATAAGCAGGGTATGGTGGCGCACACCTTTAGTCCCAGGAGGGACATGAGACTTAGGACTTGGGAAGCACAGGCAGGTGGATCTCTGTGCGTTCAAGGCCAGCCTGGTCTACATAATGAGTTCCAGGACAGCTGGGGCTACAGGGAGACCCTGTCTCAAAAAAAAAAAAAAAAAAAAAAAAAAAGGCCAGTGTGGTGGCATACACCTTTATTCCCAACACTCCAGAGGACAGGGACAGAGGCAGAGGCAGGTGGATCTCTGTGAGATCCAGGCCAGCCTGTCTACATAGTGGGTACCAGGTTGGTTGGGGCTAGAGAAAGTCTATAAAGCATGACACAGAATCAAGCAACCAAGATTTTTTTCTGGAAGATTCTTAAAATATGCCAGAAGAGTTAAAAAAAATTATTAATGAGAAGGAAAAAAAGGTAAAAACAGGCTGAAGGAATACCTCTAAAACTTGGCTGAAGCTCTCTGAGTAGGGAACGTATTTATTGTCTTTGTCTCCCTTGTAAAACCATGTACATCGTCTCACTTCGGATGGCACTTCATCCCAGTACACCGCATACCGCATCCTCTCCCCTAAATGAACATCGTATCTGCCCCCATCGGTGGGAACAACTCTCCCATTACAATCTTTTCCTATCAAGTATTGCAAAGGAGAAAAGAAGCACATCATTTCACAATAAATCTCAATACAGTTGTGTTACGTTTCAAAAAGTGTGAATAATGTAAACAATTTCTACTTGGTTACATTTAAATTAATTGGAATTTAATTCATATGTTTTTTCATGAACTACTTCTCACAAGTCAAAACTAATCACTTAGTGAAAAAGAAATTTTTCACTGCCCCTTAAAAATAGGCATATAGCTGGGCATGGTGGCCCACGCCTTTAATCCCAGCACTTGGGAGGCAGAAGCAGGTGGATCTTTGTGAGTTCAGGGCCAGCCTGGTCTACCTAGTGAGTTCCAGGACAGCTGGGGCTACAGAGACCGTCTCAAAAAGACAAAAAAAAAAAAAATTAAAAAAAATGGGCATATATAGTCAGGCATGATGGCACATGTCTTTAAATCCCAGCACTCAGGAGGCAGAGGTAATGTGGATCTCTGTGAGACTGAGGCCAGCCTGGTCTACATAGGGAGTTCCAGGCCAGCTGAGGCTACAGAGAGACCCTGTCTCAAAAAAAGTCAAAATAATAGGAGAGAAAAATCTAAAATTACTTTAATGAAAATCATTGCAATGGTATAGAGCCATTACATTTTGGTTTGAAAGAGATGAGAATCTTTGTTACAAGTCATCATTTTCTTCCTACCAGAGCCATAGGCCTCTTCCAGTTGCTGTGAATCCTCAGAGTTGAAAGGAATCCATATCTCCTTAGAATCTATCATCTTACAATAAAACCAATGTGGAGAAACTGGTTCATATAAGCTGCCAACATCCATGTCTATTAGCTCAAAAGAACTACATGAGTTTGGTGATGGGGATGGATCTGACTGCGACAACTGCCGTGATTCCGGCGATGACATTTCGCTCTCTAAAAGGCAAGGCAAAACTGTTAGGAAAATTAATTTCCTACTATTGACACTAATTGTTCATGTGTGTGCAGGCACCTAAAAGAAACTGATCCTTTTAAGAAGCCATTCTTGAAAACGAACAACAAAGAGCTATATAATTCAAAACAAAAATATCACATTTGGGGAGGCGCTTTAAACAATGTTTCTACTAGATCAACCATTTTAGCCAAACAAACCCAGAATTTCACGAAACACATGGTCAAAATTGATTGCAATGAACTATTTTACCAATTTCCAATCCAAATCTAGCTCCAAAGGCAGAAAATTAACCCCGCCCAAGCCAGTGTTTCATACTGAGACCCCCCAGGCCCTTCCTTTACTATCCCATTCTATAACTGCTGGAATCTTAAATACTTAAAACACAGCTATTCCCTTAAAAACCATTTTGGTTAATGCTTTAATTGCGCTTAAACAAGGGGCTATGGTGCATTTAAAGTCAACACGGGAAAACAGCGCCTGCAGCAGCACCAGCCCACCCGTCTCGGCGTCCAAGCTGCGGGTGAGAAGTTAGCATTCGCTGCCCACAGCCCCTTCCCTCACAGAACGCCCCACGAGCTGCCGCCGATCCACCACCGGTTTCCGTCGCCCCAGCTGGCCTGGATCTCCGCTTGTCTCTGCTCCCCAGCGCAGGGATGGACGGTGCGCGGCACGCAGCAGCTCCGCAGACGCTGCAGGGAGAGAAACCACGGCACCACTGCGGCCTGCGGGCGGGCGCACGCCCCTGGAGCCGCGTCTCCCGCGGTCACTTCTACCACAGACCGACCCGACCGTCCCTCGTCTGCAGCTGGACTCCCGCCACTCGCCCCGGCTTCCTAGACTCCGGCCGTCCCCGGAACAGCGTTAGCAGATGCCGCAGGGCGCAGCGCGCACGGCCCGGCGGCTCCCCGCGCCCCGGGCCGCCGCCACCGCCCCGGCCACCCGCACTCGCCTGCCAGCGCCGCGGCGCGCACTCTCCCGCCCTAGCGAAGGCGCCCAGGGCATGTCGCAGCGACCGCCTGTCTTCTAGGTCCAGGCGGGGCGGGGCGGAGCCAGCGGCCGCGCCCGTCGAGCCCCGCGCCCCGGGACCCAAGCGCTCCCAGTGGGCGAGTAGTGCCCGGCTCTCAGCGCCCGCCGCGGGTGAGACCTATAGCGCTGAGGGGAACCCACGGAAGTGTCGCGAGACATGAGGGAACTCGCGCGAGACGTGGCTCCTCCTGCGGGCAGGCGCGGGGCACGCGCTGGGCACGTGGTGGCGGGGCGGGGCGCTTGCGCTCCCCTCGTAGCTGGCGAACCAGTCTCTGTCTGAGGACCACGGCCACGGAGGGAGCTGCGGGGGAGGGCCTCGTCCCTGTGCTGGGAGGAGCGTCGCTGGGCCTCTCCAGCCTCTGCTCGAACGGAGAGGCTATGGGAAAGGCGCCCTGGAAGCAGCAGCCGTGCCGGTGGCGTCCGGACGTGGCTAATCAGCCTTGCGACCCCGGGAGATACCGGCGGCACGGGTAGGAGGAAGGGCAGGAGCCCCCAGACCGACCCTGGAAAAGGGGAGGACAGGGAATGAGTGTCGGGTGAGAAATTGTGTGGCGTCCTGTGTAGCTGTCCTGCTTCCGGTGTGGAAGACCGCAAGCCTTTGGTGATTAAGCGGGACACTTTGGAGGGCTGGGGATGATGGTGAAACGCCCAATAGCAAGGTTTGGTCCCCAGCACGTGAGGGAGGAAAGAAAGCAGGGCAAGTAATATACTTTACTATCTTCTAACTTGATTATAAGGCAGGAGTTAAAAGTTTTCAGACACTGAAAAGAAACTAAATGTGGGAATTAGGGGCTGTCTAGGTGGCCCAGCGGTTAAATGAACTGGCTGCCCTCGCAGCACCCACGTGGTGGCTACACACAGAAGAGAAACTTCACTGACGGAATTTATTTTTTTACTTCGCATTGCCAGAGATGGAATTCAGAGCTTGGGGTTGGGTAAGAGCTCTGCCGCAAAAGTCCCAGTTTGGAATCTAAAAACCTATCAATGAACTTTCATATCCTGACCATTAAAATCTACCCATCTATCTTGGGTGTGTTTGTGGGTTTTGTTGCTTAAATTTTTGAATTCGTTTCTTTTGAGGTAGGGTCTCAGGTTGGCCTCAAACTCACTATATAGCGGAGGATCACCCTAAACTTGTGATCCTCTCGTTTTCATGTCTTGAGTTCTGGGATTACGGGTATGCACCATCATATTCTATGTAGTGATGGAAATCAAAGCCAGGTCCTCCTGCATGTTAAGGAAGCCAGGGCGCTTAACTGAGCTACACCTGCAGTTCTTGTTTGATTTTTTTTTTTTTTTTTCCTCCTTTGAGTCAATTCCTTATGAAGCCCAAGCTAGTATCAAACTAAGGATCCTCCTGCCTCTGCCCCCAGGTGCTGGTATTATAGGCATGGACCACACTCAGCCTATCTTATGCTACAGATTTTTAACCCATGTATGATTTATGATACTGTGTAATATTTTTTAAATGACTTCACTGAGCTATACAAATCTTCCGAATGTTAACACAATTGATTGTACAACTTTATAAATGTTTTTTTCTATCAACAAACAACTTTCTCCTAGAAAGTAACTCACACAGGATTTTTTTTGTTTTTTGAGTCAGTCTCACTATGTATCCTTGCCTGGCCTGGAACTTACTATGTGGATCAGGCTGGCCTTAAACTCAAGAGATCAGCCTGCCTCTGCCTCCCAACTGCTGAGCCATCTTTCCAGCCCCCAGTTCGTTCTTGACTTATGGTATTTTCAACTTATGATGGGTTTATAGTAAGTCAGGGCACATTTATATTATGAATTTTTTTTCTAAAGAGTACATTCAGACTGGGGTTAGAGAGATGACTCAGCATTTAAGAGCACTGGCTGCTCTTGCAGAAGACTCAGGTTCAAATCCCAGCACCCACATGGTAGCTAACAACCATCTATAACTCCAGTTCTAGGGGATTCAACACCCTCCTCTGACCTCTGAGGTCAGAAGACCTGACTGCATGTACACTGGTGCACTCATATGCAGGCAATACAACTCATACACACACACAAAATTTATATATATATATATATATCGAGAGAGAGAGAGAGAGAGAACCTTTAGAATGGAGATATCAACAGATACTATCCTAAGTAATGAGGTTAGTAGCTAAAGTCGAAGTCACACAGGACACTTTGATAATGATGAAAGGGACAAACCACTTCTGTGCTTTTCCTCTCCCAAATTCATAGCCCCAGTTTAATTAGGAAAAACACATCAGAAAAATACTTCCCAGTGGAAGTTATTTCTCAAAACTGTCAGATCATCAAATCAAATGAAGAGGGAGAAACTTAGCACAGCTAAGAGCAGAGACATGATGAGCTGTTCTAATGATGTATTACCTGAAATCCTAAAGGGGAAAAAAGGTATCAGGTAAAAATGAAGGATGGACATTAGTTAATGTGAATGTATCCATTTGAGTCCATAAATTATGACATTTAATAAACAGAAGTGTTAATACAAAGGAACTGGGTGAGACGTCTAGAATTCTACAGTGTCATAGATTTTCTATAAATGGAAACTACTCTTGAAGTTTATTAATATAATTCCAGTTTGGAAAAGAGCAAAATATGGGTGGACATAGTGGTGCATACGTTCAATCCTAGTACTCAGGAAGCAGGAGGATCACTGCAAGTTTGAGGCCAGCCTTGTCTACAGAGTAAGTTCCAGGCCAGCCAGGGTTACATATTTGCGACACTGTCTCAAAAAAACAAAAGGAAAGCTGGACATGGTGGCACATGCCTTTAATTCCAGCACTCAGGAGGCAGATGGATCTCTGAGATCCCAGCCAGCTGGGGCTACAGAGAGACCCTGTCTCAAAAAGACCAAAAATAAGTACATAAATTAAAAAAACCAAAAGGCACAAAAGATACAGTATTCACAGGAAAGAATATACAGGAGGATGAATAAGCACGCGGAAGGATTCAGTACCACTGTTAGGGAAACGAAAAGCAAACCACAATGAGCTGTCACTATAGACCTATCAGAATGACTAAAACACTGAACACAAATACTGCAGGGACACGAGTTCATACGTAGCTGGTGTAAAATGATAGAGACACTTTGGGAAAATGACAGTTACTTAAACATGCAACCACCATACAATCTAGAATTACATCCCTAGGAAATATTTCATTCCCTAAAAAATGAACGTTTATGTACACATAATGGAAAAATGGAGTTAAAAATTAAACATGCAACCACCATACAATCTAGAATTACATCCCCGGGGAATATTTCCCCTAAAATCCGAACATTTATGTACACGTAAAAATCTGTATGTGACTATGCATAATAGTTCCAAAATAGAAACAACCCAGATAGCCATCAGCAGAGGAATGGTTAGCTGTGGTACCATCCACAAACTACTATTGATATAGGAAACAACTTGGATGAATCTCAAGAGAATTATGCTGAATGAAAAAGTCTTTAAAAGCAACATACTTATATGACTCTCCACAGGTAACATACCCTTTTTAAAAAGGTTTATTTGCCAGGTGTGGTGGTGCATGCCTTTGATCCCCAGGACTTGGGAGGCAGAGGCAGGCAGATCTCTGTGAGTTCAAGGCCAGCCTGGTCTACATAGCGAGTTCCAGGCCAGCTGGGGCTAGGAAATCTGTGTCGCAAAAATACCAAAAAAAAAGATTGTCTTATTATGTCTTGCTTGTACATAAGTGCGTGCATATATATGCAGTGCAGTGCCGGGAGGCCAGAAAGGATGTCTGATCCTCCAAAGTTATAGCTATGATCCATGTGAGACCTGGGAACTGAACCTGGGTCCTCAGCAAGAGCATCAAGTTGAGTCCTTTCAATCACTAAGCCATCTCTCTAACACCCCCAACCCCTACCTCACTTTTGCCTTTGTTGTTTTAAGGCAAAGTCAGTACTACTATGTAGTCCAAGCTGGTCTCAAACTTGCCATTTTCCTGCCTTAAGCTTCCTAACTATAGGTATGTGCCACCAAGCCTGGTTTAGCATTGTTAATGAAGTGCAGAAATAGGATTAGTGCAGCTAAGTTTGTAGTGCTTGCCCAGAATGCATAAAGGCCCAAGTTCAAAGCCCAGTACCTCATAAACAGGGTGTAGTTGTGCACATCTGTATTCCCAGAACTGAGGAGGTAGATGCAAGAAGATCAGAAGTTCAAGGTCATCCGCAGTTATATAACGAGTGAGGCCAGCCTTGGCTACTTGGGACCCTGGTACTGATAGCTCAGTCAGTGGAGTGTGTGCCTTGCAAGCACAAAGGCTTGAGCTCAACCCAGAACTCATGGGAAAATGCCAGGCACAGTGGTTCATGCTTGTATTCTGGGGAAGGCACGAGGTTTGTTTGGGCTTTCTGGCCAGCCAGTTTAGCCTAAAGGGTGAGCTCCAGGCCAATGACAGAAAAGGTGGTGTTCCTAAGGATGACACCTGAGCTTGTCCTCTGGACTTCACACCTACGTGTGCATCAAAGTGCGCAGGCAGACACACACACACACACACACACACACACGCTCTACAGTATTCAATTAAATTTACATTTCCAATAATCAAGAAATCCTTAGTATAAGTATGTTCCAAACATTGCTTGAACCATACTGACATTAACAGATGATTGGGGCTGGAGAGATGGCTCAGCAGTTGAGAGCATTGGCTGCTCTTGCAGAGGACCCGGGCTTGGTTCTCTGCCCCCACATGGTGGCCAACAACCATTTGTAACTCCACTGACAGGGATCCCTCTTCTGGCCTCCGTGCGCATTGCATGCATATGGTGCACTTAACATACATGCAGGCAAAACAGTCATACACATAAAAATAAATATTAAAAAGCAGACAAGTTGCCAGGTGTGGTGGCACACACCTGTAGTCCCAGCACTTGGGAGGCAGAGGCAGGTGGATCTCTGTGAGTTCAAGGCCTGCCTGGTCTACATAGTAAGTTCCAGGCCAGCTGGGGCTGCATGGGGACCCTGTCTCAAAAAGACCAAAAAAAAAAAAAGGGAAGTTTTCTGCACTGCCCAAGGAGGGGTCCAAACAATGTATTATAGATTTACACTGTAACTTAAATGGAAAGTTTCACACAGTAATTGAGTCTTTGATGTCCTGAAAATGAAGGCGGTCCTCAAATTCCTTGTAGCAGGAACCCATTCATGTGGCACTGTTCTAGTTTATTTCTCCATTGCTGTGACAAAACACTCTGACCACTACCAACTTGAGGAGGAAAGGGTTTATTTGTCTTACATCTCCTGGATCACAGTTCATCAGAGCCCAAGGCAGAAACTAGGGCAGGAACCTGGAAGCAGGAGCTGGAGCACAGGCCATGGAGGAACACTGCTTACTGGCTTGCTCCCCTGGCCCCTGCTCAGCCTGCTTTCTTGTACAACACAGGCCCACCTGCCCAGGGGTAGCACCACCCACAGTGGGCTGGGCCCTCCCACATCACTCATCAATCAAGATGTCCACAGACATGGCTACAAGCCAGTCCAATGGAGGCAATTCCCCAATTGAGGCTGCCTCAACCCAAGCGTGTCAAGTTGATAACTAAAGCTATGCAGTACAGGCACCGATGTTGATTTCCAGACAGAATAGTCCATCTACAAAAAGAGTGATGGTATCAACACCGTAAATCTGAAGAGGAACTGGGAAAGCTGCTACTGCAGTTGAAAACCCACTGTCAGCATCGCCTCCTCCAGAGCACTGACAGCAGCTTGTGCTGGTGACGCTTTACTCCTGGGACTTTCAGTCACCAGACCTAGTCAGTCTTCTAGGAGCCATGCCTTCTGTGGTGACTGAAGAGCTGACCACCAGCCCCTAACGGGTCATTATCTCAATCTACCTATCACTGCTCTGTGTAACACAGATTTTCCTCTGTGATATGTGGAAAAGCCATCCATGCAACCAGGGGAGCTCACTCACTGGGTCTTATGCAGTGGATGGTGGCCAGAAAGCTCTGTACACATTGTAGCACCTTCTCCCACGGGCACCCATGGGAGGCCATGCCAGATTAAAAAAAAATATTTTACTGTTTTATGTATATGAGTAATGCCTGCATGTATGTAAGTGCAGCCCTGTCATGCAATGCCTGGGGAGGACAGAAGAGGCCCACTGGATCCCCTGGAACTGGAGTTATGGACAGTTGTTAGCTGTCATGTGGGTGCTGGGATTTGAACCGGGTCTTCTGTAAGAACAGCCAGTGTTCTTAACTGCTGAGCCATCTCTCCAGCCCCCCATGCCAGATGTTTATTTCTACAAAGATCCTGAAGAGATTGGTAAAGAAGGGCACACTGCTGTTGTTGAAAGACTAAAGAAGGAGGAACTGCAGGGTGAACAGACTGCCAGTTCCTGAACTGCTCTTCAGCCTGGTCCTAAAGTGTACAGGTGCCCGCTGTGCGTAGGTGTTCCAGTGCTGCTCAGGCCCCTAAATGGGTTAGGAATAACCACTAAGTGGCTATAAGCTGTTCTTCTGCAGACTCCTAAGCAAAGCAGAAAGATGGCTGGAAAACAAACAAGGGCCAGCAAGATGGCTCTTTGGGTAAAAGTTCTTGCTGCCCAAGCCTGAAGACCAGAGTTCAATCCCTGGAATCCATTATGGAAGGACACACACACACACAATCATATAGACACAAAACCTCTGAACAGACCTCTGAGAAATACTTCTAACTTTAAAAAAATATTTTATTATTTTTGTGTATGAGTGTACTGCCTGCATGTATGTGAGTGCACCCATATCGTCCAATGCCGCGGAGATCACAAGAGGGCTTCAGATTCCCCTGGAACTGGAGTTAAGGACAGTTCGTAGCCGCCATGTGGGTGCTGGGAATTGAACCCGGGTTCTCTGCAAGAGCAGTCAGTGCTCTTAACCACTGAGCCATCTCTCCAGCCCCAAATATAGAAACTTTAAAAAGAAGTGCAATTTTAGAGAAATTCAATATTAAAAAAAAAAGAAACATGAAGAAATTAATAGCCTCAGATATGTAAGGTGTTACAACCAGAAAAGAGTAGAATCTCACAAAGTGAAAATTTAGGAATTAAAGAGAATTGAAATATAAAATTCAGGGGGCTGGAGAGATGGCTCAGTGGTTAAGAGCACTGGCTACTCTTGCAGAGGACCTGGGTTCAATTCCCAGCAACCACATGGCAGCTAGCAACCATTCATAACTCCAGTTATAGGGCAATCCAATGCCTTCTGACCTTTGTAGGTATTGCACGACACAGGTGCACTTAAATACACTCAGGCAATACACTCATAAAATAAAAATAAAACATTTAAAATATAAACACATATATACAATTCAATGAGTAGTTGGAACATAGAAGTTGTGCAAATTTTGGGCTGGAGAGATGGCTGAACAGTTAAGAGCTAGAACTGTGGTTATGGACAGTTGTCCGCGTGAGTGCTGTGATTCAAACCTGGTTCCTCTGCAAAAACAGCCAGTACTCTTAACTGCTGAGCCATCTCTCCAGCCCCAAAGATCAATCTTTGAAGTCAAGAATTGAAACAGTAGTAATGTGGGCTAGGCATGGTGGCACATACTTTAATCCCAACACTCAAGAGGCAGAGGAAGCCAGGCATGGTGACACACACCTTTAATCCCAGCACTCCGGAGGCAGAGCCAGGTGGATCTCTTTGAGTTCAAGGCCAGCCTGGTCTACATAGTGAGTTCCAGGCCAGCTGGAGCTAGAGGGAGACATTGTCTCAAAAAAGAACCCCCTGCCCCCCCCAAAAAAAAGGGTGGAGGAAATTGGATTTCTATGAGTTTGGAGCCAGCATGGTCTACACAGAGTTCCAAGCCAGCTAGGATTACACAGTGAAACCCTGTCTCAAAAGCAAAAAACTAATTCCATGTAAGTGTGCCAAGGGAAAGAACTGAACAGCCCAACAAAAACAAAGTATTTCAGCATCCAAAGGCATGAGTTTTTACAATGTCATGCCCAAGAAAACAGATACAGATAGACCTACACCACTACTAAATTTCAGAACAGAGGGATAAAATATATCCTACAAGTTTCCAGAAACAAAGGTTGGGCCCTCAGAGGGCTGGAGATAGCTCAGCAACTAAGAGTACTGGCTGCTCTTCCAGAGGACCCAGGATCCCAGTTCCCAGCAACCATATGGCAGCTAACTACTCTAATTCCAGTTTCAGGGGTTTCCAGTGTCCTCTTCTGGCCTCCATGGGCATTGCATGCATGTGGTACACTTATATACGTGCAGGCAGGCAAAATGCTCATACACAGAAAATTAAAAATAAATCAATTAAAAAGCTCTTTAAAAAGGTAGGTCTCAGAGAGCTGAAGATATCTCAGTTGGTAGAGTATGTGCCTCAAATGCATGAGGCACTGGGTTCATTTCTCAGTACCTCATAAAAAAATTGGGTATGGTGACATACAGCTATAATCCCAGCACTTGGGAGGAAGAAATAGGAAAATCAGAAGTTTAAAATCTGGCCACATTGAAGGAGAGTGCCCCTCAGACCCCTCCTTGGCCTCAGTGAAAGAGCTGCCCTCTGCCTGACTCTGGAAATCCCCTAGATTGTTCGAATCCTTTCCTGGTACATCTGTTTATGGTTTCTATGGAAATGGTCTGGGGCAGGAGAGGAAGAACATTCTGCCCCAGGTAAACTAGCCAATGGCTGTATAGGTTAAGGGCTCAGCCCTAGATTGTTAAAATCCTTTCCTGGTTCTTCTGTTTATGGTTTCTATAGACATCCCCTGCTTTGCAGATTTTGTGCTTAAAAGCAAGCCCTGCTTTTCCACAGCTCTGGGTCGCGGTGCAGCTCCTGAGCCTGCCTGCATCCCCAGCCGGTCGGTTTTAATAAGCAGTTAAGTTTTCCTGAGTCTCAGTGTCTGAGTAGTCAATTCAGGGAATTTTTCGGACCCAGAACAACACACTGAGTTTGAAGTCAGCCTGGGATGTACAAGGCCATGATTTCTGCCCCACAAATGGGTCCTGTATAATTGATCACAACAAAGTATGCTTCTCAACAGCAATTCTGGAAACTAAGTTCTAGAAACTATGAGACAACAGAACAATGGTTTTAAAATGTTTTACAATAACCACTTCCCAAAATTTTACACCCAGCTTAGATAATCCAGTGTCTAGGTAGAATACACATTTTAAATTATGCAAAATATAAAACCAATGATTTTCCATGTAATCTTTTCCAGGAAGGGAAATAAGTTGAGAAAGAAAAAGACACACAATACAAGAAAACAAGAAGGGGCAAAGAGACTCCCCAGGGTAAGTAAAAAAAGGCTCCAGCACAGACTTCCTCATGAGTTTGAAACTGATCAAATATATGTATGCACATCTTGAGAAAAGACTTAGAGGTCAAATAGGTCATTAAGAATATAAGCAACCAAATAAGTGATTAATTACAGGGAAAACAAGGAGTTGCTCAGAAAAAAAAAATCATAGTTGCAGAACTGAGCTGTGGTTAGCATTTACATAGAAATGACTGTGGATCTGTATTCAGAAGTGGGGACTGAGATGTGTATGTGGGAGGGCAGAAAGATAAACATTTATCCTCTCTATAAAAAACAGCTGGGGGCTGGGTGTGGCAGAGGCAGGCAAATCTTTGAGTTCAAGGCCAGCCTGGTCTACATAGTCCCAGGACAGCTGAGGCTACAGGGAGACCCTGTCTCAGGAGGGAGAAGGAGGCAGATCTCTGTAAGTTCAAGGCCAGCCTGATCTACATAGTGAGATCCAGGCCAGCTGGAGCTACAGGAAGACCCTGTCTCAAAACCAAAAAAAAAAAAAATTTATAAAATAGATACAGGGGCTGGAGAGATGGCTCAGTGGTTAAGAGCACTGGCTGCTCTTCAGGGGACCTGGGTTCGATTATCAGTGCCCACATGGTGATTAACAACCATCTGTAATTCCAGTTCCAGGGGAATTTGACACCTTCTTCTGAGCATTTACATGTGTATGTGTCTGTGTCTGTGTCTGTGTGTATGAGAGAGAGAGAGAGAGAGAGAGAGAGAGAGAGAGAGAGAGAGAGATACATTTTACATTTGAAAGTGTTTACCTCTGGAGAAAGAAAAATAGGAAGAGGATCAGGACAATATTTTTTTCATAGAATTGACTTGTTAAACTCATAAATTTTGTTTATGCTTTTTTTTTTTCCCCCTCTTTTTGAGACAGGGTCTCCCTATATCCCCAGCTGGCCTGGAACTCACTATGTAGACCAGGCTGGCCTTGAAATCACAGCAATCCACCTGCCTCTGCCTCCTGAGTTCTGGGATTAAAGGCGTGTGCTACCATGCCCAGCTGTTTATGCTTTATTTTTGTGTGTGGGAGGAGGCATGCATGTGCATACCATCCCATATGTGTAGAAGTCAGAGGATAATCAGTGGGAGTTAGTTCTCTCCTTCCACCATGTGGGTTCTAAGGACTGAACTCAGGTACTCAGGCTTGGCAGCAAGTACCTTTTTACCCGCTGAGCCATCTCATTGAGTCTAAACTCACAAGTTCTTAAAAAGAAAAAAAAAAAATTAAATAAAGATATAGTGGCACACACCTGTAATCCTAGCACTCAGGAAGAGGCAGGCTGAGCTCTGTGAATTTAAGGCCAGCCTGGTCTACATAGGGAATTCCAGGCCAGCCAGGGCTTCATAGTGAAACCCTGTCTCAAACAAACAAAATTTTAAAAAGTTCTATAAACTATCTATTCCCTCAAAATCTTTAAAATATTGTATTTACTATTATTTTAATTTATATGTATGAGTGTTTTTCCTACATGTGTGTAAGCACACCCATGTCATGCAGTACCCAGAGGTCAGAAGAGGATGTCAGATCACCTGGAACTGGAGTTACAGACAGCTGTTAGCTACCACGTGAGTGCTGGAAATCAAACGCAGGTCGTCTGAAGAGCAGCCAGTGCTTTTAACCACTGAGCCATCTCTCCAGCACTGCCCCTCCATCTTTAAAAAAATGATTTTATTCTTTTTTTTCTTACAGTCTTGCTTTATGCGGGACAGGGGATAGAACCCAGAACTGTGTACATGCTAGGCAAGCACCACACCAATAGAGCCCATGTGCAATCCCCTCGTAACTTTTCTTAAATGACAGTCTAATCTATAGCCTTCAATTAAAAAAAAAATCTGGTTAACTTTAAGGTCATTACTTATGTCAACCAACTAAAGCACTCTTTCAAAGCCCATTCTTTTTTAAAAAATATTTTTATTTATTATCTTTATTTTATGTGTATGAGTGTATTGCCTACATGTATGTGAGTGCACCTGTGTCCTGCAATGCCACGGAGGTCAGAAGAGGGCTTCAGATTCCCCTGGAACTGGAGTTAAGGATGGTTTGTAGCTGCCAAACCTGGGTCTTCTGCAAGAGCAGTCTGTGCTCTTAACCACTGAGCCATCTCTCCAGCCCCTTTTTTTAAAAAAAACTATTATTTATTTATTTATTTATTTATTTACTTATTTATTTGTCTTTTTGAGACAGGGTCTCCCTGTAGTCCCAGCTGATCTGAACTCACTGTGTAGACCAGGCTGGCCTTGAACTCATCTGCCTCTGTCTCCCGAGTGTTGGGATAAAAGGCATGCACCACCACACCCAGCTATTATTTTTATTTTATTTGTATGAGTGTATTGCCTGCGTGTAGGTAAGTGCACCCGTGTGGTGCAATGCCTGAGGAGGACAGAAGAGGCTGTTGGATCCCTTGGAACTGGAGTTAGGACAGTTGTTAGCTACCATGTGGGTGCTGGTAATTGAACCCAGGTCTTCTGCAAGAACAGTGTTCTTAACTGCTGAGCCATCTCTCCAGCCCTCAAAGCCCATTCTTTAAAGGCATTTAAAACACTTATGCCCCAGACACTTCAGTATCACTGACTTGTTTAAATGTTTACCTTGGTGTTTGTATTGCAGAAAATATCTTATAAGAAGAAAACAGTTGTTTTTAATCATGCAAGGTCTAGGTAACTTTATTCAAGATTTTTGACAAAAATGATCTCCAAAGTAATATAAATTTAGACACTTTAAAAAAGTCTAGATGTGAAGTTTCAAAAGAAAATTGACTTCGTTTCAAGTCAGTATTATGTCAAAAGCTGAACAAATTTTACAAATCATAAATACTATTTTCCCTCTTAAATTTATTACATTTTCAAAGACAGGTTGCCAACTTCGCTTTCTTTGATACTGGTATCTGGAATCATTGTAACATTGTTTATAGCTAAGTTAAGTGTGTACCTATCCTGCATATCTCATCATAATTAAAAATATAAATCCAGAAGCCACAACTCTTCCTTACAGAATTCCAGTTATTACATGTATCAGAAATGAGAGAAGTAGAAAATCGCCATCTGAACACCGCAGTGGTAACTGCCACAAGCACATCTGCCGACAGCCAAAGGAAGGCAGACTGAAGCACAAACAGGACATTTGCATAGTCTCAGAGTATCTCTAGCAAATATTTAGTAATTACAAAGGAAAATATGGACCCTTACAGTAGAGTCCTAGCAGACACCACGTTAGCATAGTGCTCAGTGTAAACAACACCAGAAATACATCATAGCATCAGGTATCGCCTATGATACTGTCACAGATTGGAAGACCATGTGGAGACAACAACTAAATGCAGAACGGGATCCAGGACAATTAAGAGGATACCGGTAAAAAGACTAATAAAATGTCTACGTTTAGCTCCCTACTTTAGTTAATATCAGTAGCATTATAACAAGATTAACTTCTTAATTTTGACAAATGTTTTAGTTAAGTAAGGTGTCAAAATAAGGGGAAGGTAGATGAAGGGTACACAGGAAATCTATTTTTACAACTCCTATGTAAGTTTAAAATCATGTTAATAGTTTAAAAATAACTTAAGATATATACATGTGTATGTATGTATATTTGTGCATAACACTTGTACATATATATAAAAATTAAGAATTTGTGGAAATTGGCATCTTGGGCAGTCAGTAAGCTAAGCAGAAACTTTCTTTTAAATTTGTCACTGTCTTCACTGATAACAGCCTTAAGGATTCTCGTCCTAAATTTTCTTTCTTTTTTATCTTTTTGAGACAGGGTCTCCCGGTAGCCCCAGCTGGCCTGGAACTCACTATGTAGAGCAGGGTGGCCAGGAACTCACAGAGATCCACCTGCCTCTGGATTAAAGGCATGTGCCACCATGCCTGGTCTCTCCTCCTAAATTTTTATTCTGAAGTATAATTGTCGATTTTTATAGAAAACTTTTTAAAAAACATTTCTCTATTGGGCCAAAAGTAAGAGAATGAGGACTAGGACTGTAGCTTAGTATAGTGCTTGCCTAGATGTACAAAACCCTGGATTTGATCCCCAGCACCACATAAACCAGGCACACATCTGTACTAGAGGTGGAGGCAGCAGGATCAGAAATTCAAGGTCATCCTCAGCAACTCAGCAACTTCAAGGTCAGACTGGGATACTACATGAACTTCTGTCTCAAAAAATAAAGGAGTATTTTTTGAAAGAAAATTCTGTAATAAAATGAGAGAATTCTATAATAAAATGATCACATCTTGAATCATTCATCCAAAACATAAAACCTAGCCAATATTTTTGATTTTTGAGACAAGATCTCATGTAACCCAGACTAGTCTTGAATTCACCATATAGCTGAGGATGACCGTGAACTTGTGATCTGCCTGCTTCTATCTCCCAAGTGCTGAGACTATTGGTACCGAACACCATGCCTGGTTTATGCAGGACTATGATTGAACACAGAGCTTCATACATATTAGGTAAACACTCTACTAACTTAGCTTCATCCCCATTCCTCAAGCATTGTTTTCAGTTCATCTCATCATATAATGTTTAAGTATGAGTAGTATATATATATAGAAGAGATGGCTACAGATTCAGTATCACTAATATATATGCCTGCTAATCTAGAAAAGCGCATGTTTATATCTTACTAAGAAACTGCAGTTTTTGTAAAAGTAGATCTGTAAACTAGACTTCTCTTTAAATTTAAAAGGTAAATTTTTACCTGTCTCATATAACAACATATACATAACCAAGCAAGGCCAGTTGTGACCCTTTCAATATCTCTTTCTTAAACTGGCTCTAAAATGACTCTTATTAATAGTAATAAACACCTTTTTATGAAACAGGCAGCCTATGAAATTTGTGAAATAAAGACCAAATCTAAATTAGAAGAACATGACAGATTTTCTACTCTAGCTGTGGCTGACTCCCTGAGCATGAACTCCCTTTCCTTTATCAGCTATAAACTGAGCTGATATCTCTCCCCACAGAAACTATTTAAATGAGAATGATATTGTTAAATAATCATAATTGTTACTTTTGGGGGGGGTCTTTTTGAGACAGGGTCTCCCTGTAGCCCTAGCTGTCCTGGAACTCAGTATGTAGACCAGGCTGGCCTTGAATTCACAGAGATCTGCCTGCCTCTGCCTCTGCCTCCTGAGTGCTGGGATCAAAAGCGTGTGCCACCACACCCAGCAATTGTTACTTTTTGTAGTAATTATTTCTACTCACTGTGGCATTTAATTTTCTATCTGTTTTTATCATAAGACTATTATAGAAGCAGCAATAGTGAAAAGATAAACTTCATAAAAAAGTAACTTTAAAGTGGATCTTTATCCAAATACAATGAAAAAAGCAAAGAAATAAAATGTCCACAACCATTTCCATACTTGTGTTACTGTAATTTCCAAATTCACCTCCCCTACTACTATGAAAACAGAAGGGGGAAGAACGCTAACAAGCTACACAAAGAGAGAGACAAACAGTTTACTTGAGGAACTCACTACACACTGCAAGTGGCAAAAGGATAGAAACTCATTCAGAACGGCCCTTCGATCTGGCTGTCAATGTTTAATTATAGAGAACATGATCTACAAAATGTACCAAGAAGTAGAATAATTACTGTATTTGTGAACTGAAAACAACAAAACAAAACAGAGGGCCAAGAAAGCTAAAGTCTAAGCTATAATTTACACATAAAGTATATGCAGTCACAATATACAGAAATGTGACAATCCAGTCTGTTTGTTTGTCTCTATTTCCAATAGCCTGTTACTTAAAGTGTAGTTCCCTCCTGCTGATAGGCAGCAGCCTACAAATACCCATGAATTTCTTAAGGAGTGGGTCTACTTGACAATATTGATAATTTCAATTTCCTATCATGTTCATTCATCTGAAAATTGAAAAAAAACAAAAACAAAACTCATAACTAAAGTGTTCTTCCATCCCTTCACCAGCTTTTCAAAATTTTTTTCCTCCCAAGTCTTAAGACAAGGGAAAGTTGGAATGTGTTGCTTCTCATCACAACAAGCATTTCAAAAACATGGTAACTACCCAAATTCAAGAGTTCTTTGGCCAAGTTAGTAACAGGCTTACCCTTTACTCTAAATCATTCATAATCCTTTTTTTTCTAATTTTTCCAGTATGGCCTGGATCTTACAAACAGCCTCTTTCCTGGCCTGACGGACAGAGTCCTGGCCCCCAGTTTCAACAGAATCCAGTTCTAAAAGTTCCTTTGTCAGCATTTCTTCCAGAAGCCAGTATGCTTTGTCTGTCTTTTTTCCTACAAATTCTTCTACTTCTTGCTCAAGATACTGGACCTTCTCCAGCACATGTATGATTTTTTTAATACTTGGAGGAGTGCCTTCATCTGAAGACAAACACTCTTCAGGAAGATTATTACTCTGAACCTGATTGCTGGGATGCTCATTGGTGGCAGTACCATATAGCTGAGGCTCGGCACTATACTGGACTGAAGAATCCAAAAGGTCTGAATCATCATTGTTCATTGCTCCCGAAGATTCGTACTGATGGACACTGCAAGGAAAGTTGTGTCGGCTCACACCTTGCTCCGACTGGCTATAGGGGTATGAGGGGTCCTGGAGTGGGAGGACAAAAAGGAGAAGAAAGCTTGTTATGGGAAGCCATCAAGATCACGTTAGTCCACATCTTTCACCTGAACAGGAAAGTGCTTGAAGATTCCCACCATGAGAACCTTAATCATCTGAGAAAAACACAGTTAAGATAAAGAGAGAGCATCAAGCAAAAGGCCCAGAGTTCCCAAGTACAATGGCTGCAACCTGCACTGATGCAGATCCTTCTCTGAACACCTACCTCAGTTCAGCCAATGACCTAACAAATACTTTTCCTCCCTAAATAGTAAGAATCTCAAGAATACAGCCAGAAGCAAATGGTGTCAAGTCTATGATTTAATGTAAAATTACATCATAAAAGCTAGTTGTTGTAGTTATTTCAGGTTGTTTTTCATCTCTATATATTGTTAGAGGCTGTAAAATACATTAAAAAACTTTTTTATTTTTATATTATGCACACTGCCTGCATGTATGTGAGTGCACCCATGCGTGCAATGCCTGCAGAGCCAGAAGAGGATCTTGAATCCCCAGAAACAAATTACAGATGATTGTTAGATGCCATATGGGTGCTGGGAACCAAAACCCGGTCCTCTGAAAGAGCAGCCCGTGTTCTTAACCACTGAGCCATCTCTCCAGCCCTCTAAAATAAAATTTTTAATTCTATTTAATATTCAGATAGTATCACAACAGAAAATAAGCATTTTTTTTTTCTTTTTAAAACCTAAAGCATCCCCCCAAAATAAAGTTATCTCCAGGTTCACACCTGGATGGCATGCCTTTAACCCAGCACCCAGGAGGCAGAGATAGGCAGATCTTTCTGAGATTAAGTCCAGCTGGTGTACACAGCAAGTTCCAGGTTAACTGGGGCTATAAGGAGAGAGACCCTGTCTCAAAACACTGGGGGGAGGTCTGTAAAAAAAAAAACAGAATATAAATTAGGATGACATTATGTTATACGGCTGTAATCACCGTTTTTTTGGGAAAGTAGTCTCCATTTAACACACACCAATACAGAGAAGTTTCATTTTGTGTTCTCTTAATTACCTGGAGATCAAAGGACAGCATTTGGAAGGTGTCCTACCTTAGGTTGCTGGGGTGGTGGTGATGGAGGTGGTTGAGGAGAACTGCTGCCAGGCCATGGTGAGACACTTTCTGTCATGTAGAGATTCCCAGGTGGTGCTGAGGGTGTAGCTGAGGGCCAGGAGTAACGGGCACCCATCCCATAAGCACCAGAAGCCCATGCATCTTCTTGCGGTCGGACAGTCTGTCCTGACTGTGGCACAGTACGGTTACCATCCCCATAAGGATAATGGGGCAAGGTCATTCCAGCATTCTAGATTGGGAAGGAAAAACTATGCTGGGTGGTTATTGCTTAAAAACAACAACAGGCCAGGTGTGGTGGCGCATGCCTTTAACCCCAGCACTCTGGAGGCAGAGGCAGGCAGATCTCTGAGTTCAAGGCCAGCTTGGTTGACATAGCAAGTTCCAGGCCAGCTGGGTCTAGAGGGAGACCCTGTCTCCAAAAGATTAAAAAAACAAAACAAACAAAACCACAAGAACAAAAATAATGAAAACAGCAAGGTGGATCTTGAGATGCTAATAACCTTAGTTAATTAACTACCATAATTTCCCACACCTGAGAAAGCCTAGTTCTGAAAACATCAAGAGCAGAGTTGGCAAAAAGAAGGAATGAGATCTAAAATTCAATTAATGAAGCAATTATTTCCCAAAGATACCACAAATGAATCCATATCCTATAAACAGACATATTAGAACTTCCCTTGAAATAAACAGAAATAAACATGGTATCATTCATAGCATATTAAGAAATATAAACCTAGTCAGGCATGGTAGCACATGCCTTTGATCCCAACACTTGGGAGGCAGAGGTAGGCAGATCTCTGTGAGATGGAGGCCAGCTTGGTCTCCTTAGCGAGTTCTAGGACAGCTGGGGCTAGAGAGACCCTGTCTCAAAAAGACAATAAATAATAAATAAATAAATAAACAAACCTAACAGCACTGAAAAAGGCTAAATCAGGGAAACTTCAAGTAACAACTCTCTAGGGATTTCTTTTGCCATGAAAATTTTATGATTTATGGACCAGTGAGATGACTCTGGATAAAGGCACTTGGTGCACAAGCCTTACAGTATGAGTGTAATCCCTGGGAACTCACAGAAAGGTAGAAAGAGAACTGAATGCACAAAGTTGTCCTCTGACATCTACACGTGCACTGTCGCACATGCCCCATCCCCTATCTGTCTCTCTCTCTCTCTCTCACACACACAAACAAAATCTAGAATTTAAAAAATTATGATTATGAGACTCAGCCAAAATACATTTAAGCATCGACACTTGTGGAAAAATCTCTGAACATCTGTAGTGTTTTCCTTTTGTTTTTCTAGACAGAATCTCGCTATGCAGCCCTGGTAGGCCCTTATTTTAAAGCAGGTTGGCCTCAAACTCAGTTTTGCCTCCTGAGTGCTGGGATTAAAGGAGTGTACCACCATAGCTGGTTGTAGTGTTTTCTTAAATTGGTACTAATGTAAATACATGACTTTCCACTTTCTACAATTCTAGAGGCAGCATTTGCATTTTTCCCACAATAGAAAACTGCTTACCTGTGAAGTAGGATATCCTGGAACCTGCCCCCTAAGAGGAGGTGGTTCAGTTTGACAGTCCTGCTGAGGATAGATCCAACGAGAGACTGGGGTTGGGCTGTTACCAGGTGAACGATAAGTACCTGGAACATCTGTGGAGTAACTGCTTTGAGTATAGCCAGGTACATAATAAGCCCCAGAGTATGAGGCAGTATTTACTCCAGGGCCAGGAGGGTATGGTGGGCCATATGCTCCATTTGTATAAGAATTCAAACTCTGAAAAACAAAATTGAGGAAAAAAGCTGAACGGGTTGAAGATGCCCCAATTTAATGTCCAACCTTGAAAACTTTGGGAAAAAAATTTTTTTTTAAAAAATCAGTAACTACTGGAAATCTGAACACCTAAGCAGCCTGTGAAGCATTTTCTCTCCCACCTGCTGTAATCATATGCCATGTACTGAACTCAGGCTATGACTGTACAGTTACAATGGAAGAGTGTGTTGTAATGAGAGATGGAGTGATATTACAGCCTTAAAAAAATTTTTTTTTCTTTTTTTTTTTTTTGGAGACAGGGTCTCCCTGTAGCCCCAGCTAACCTGAACTCACAGGTTCAAGGCAGGCTAGTCTTGAACTCACAGAGATCCACCCACCTCTGCTTCCCAAGTGCTATGATTTGATGGCTCAGGGGTTAAGAGCACAGGCGGCTCTTGCAGAGGACCCAGGTTCGGTTTGCAGCACCCACATGGCAGCTAATAATCATCCATAACTCCAGTTCCAGGGGATCCAACACCCTCTTCTGACCTCCAGGGGGCTTTGCACAATATGGATGCACTTACACATATGCAGGCAATATACTCATACACATAAAATAAGTAACAGCCAGGTGTGGTGGCACATGCCTTTAATCCCAGCACTCCGGAGGCAGAGGCAGGCGATCTCTGTGAGTTCAAGGCCAGCCTGGTCTACATAGTGAGTTCCAGGACAGCTGGAGCTACGGAGAGACCCTGTCTCAAATGACCAAAGAATAAATAAATAATAACAATGAAACAATTAAAAAAAAAAAAACACTTAACAATTACGCCTCCCATCAGAGGAGGACTTGTGATCATAAACTGGGAAGGAAGACTCAAGGAAACCTCAGGGACCAGATGAAGGAAATACAATGATTTAACAAACAGAAGGGAAAAGGAGGGAAATTATAGAGAAAGACTTCATTCTATAATAGGCTTTATATTTTAACTACTTTTAGCTTCAGTTTCTCCAGCAGGAAAATGAAGATCCTAACCTTACTCTGCAGGATTATCATGAAAATTAAATGAGGTGATATGAATAAATGACTTATCAGGGTATCTGGTATGTAATATCCTCAACCAAAAATAATTATTTATATTATTGTAAGTATTATGAAAGGTTCAAGAACTGAACCCAGGTCTGGCCCTACAGTTCATTCCCTGGACTATGCCATAACTCTGCTTCTCAGATAATACCAACAACGAATAACACAGAGGACTCAATAGACTGCTTACAGAGTAGACTGCTTTGGGCTTTTTTAATACTCCAAATAATATTAAAGGTAAGCCCTAAATTAAAATTACCACCGTAATCTTAATTTCTCTGTTAGCTCTGTGCACATATGATGTATGTGTATTATGTGTGTGCATGTGTGAGTACGGGCATGCATGTGTCACGGCACATTTGTGGAAGTCAGAGGACAACCTAGAATGTAGGTCCTTGCCTTCCACTTTGACACAGCATCTTGTTCACTGCTGCATATACCAAGCTATCTGTCTACCCTGGCTCCCAGCTCTGGCAGTCTCCACCTCCCATGTCCCCATAGGGGTTACTGGGCTTACAGATGTGTGTTACTGCATCCAACTTTTACATGGGTTCTGGGGATCTGAACTCTAGGTCATCAGGCTTGCACGGCAAAGTACTTTACTCACTGAGCCCTACTTTAGCTTTTTAAAAATAGTAAAACTGGGGCTGGAGAGATGGTTCAGTGGTTAAGAACACTCGCTGTTCTTGCAGAAGACCTGGGTTCAAACTCCAGAACCCACATGGCAGCTAACAACTGCCTGTAACTCCAGTTCCAGGGGATCCGACAGCTTCTTCTGACCTCCTCGGGCACTGTACAACACGGGTGCGCTTACCTACATGCAGGCAATACACACATACACATAAAAATAATAAATTTTTTTTTAAAAAAATAGTACAACCGAGCTAGAGACACAGCTCATCAGTTAAGAACAAGTACTGCTCTTGCGAAGGACCAGAGTGGTTTCCAGGCCCATCTTAGGCAGCTCACAACTGTCCATAACTCCAGCTAAGGAGATCTGGCATCCTCTTCTGGCCTCTGTGGGGAATTCCCCTCACACGTGTTTGCACGCCAACACACACATAGACACACAACTATAAATATAAATAAATAAATAAACAAACAAACAAACGCTCCTGTCCCTGAGATGTACTGGTGTACCACCATCTTACTCCCAGGCTTCCTCAGACCACAGGGATCCTTTCCCTCCCTGGATCTATGCGCTCCTCCACACTTGGTGGGACTAATGCATCGCTCAACTCTCCTTATGCAGTTGATGATGATTAACACAGAAACCCACAATGGGCCACTGTGCAGAGAACAAGAGGCTGCAGAGTGCTTATCCCTGAACAGGACACCTATATCAGGGATCATTGCAGAAGAGGGGGTGGAAAGATTGTAAGAGCAGTAGATGACCATAAGGAAACAAGAGTTTTCCAGACAGCTGGTCAGTTACTCATATGAACTCACAGAAATGGTGTCAGCATGCACAAGTTCCATGCAAGCTCAAACCGAACAGAAATCCCAGCACAGACATGGAAAAGTGGGTAAGAAACCACAACCCTACCTGAGGAACTATCAGAACAGATGGCTGCTGGGAGGGGGAAAGCCGTTCTGTTTCAAGGATGGGACTCTTAGAAGGCTAACCAGGCTCCAGTGGATGGACCCACACTGAAGGACATTTGGGAATACAAAATTAGACTCTATCTGCCTTTATCTATCTATCTATCTATCTATCTATCTATCTATCTATCTATCTATCTATCTATCTCTCTCTCTCTCTCTCTCTCTCTCTCTATATAGAGAGAGAGAGAGAGAGAGAGAGAGAGAGAGAGAGAGAGAGTACATTAAATTGGGCAGGAAGTAGTAAGGCAAGGTGCAGATCAGGGAGGAGATCTAAGTATGATCAAAATATATTGTATAGGGCTGGAGAGATGACTCAGCGGTTAAGAGCACTGGCAGCTCTTGCAGAGGGCCAGGATTCCATTCCTAGATCCCACACAGCAGCTAACAACCATATGTGGTGAGTTCCAGGCCAAGTGTGGCTACAGGGAGATTCGGTCTCAAAACAGAACAAAACGAAACAAAGCAAAACAAACAGTAAAAACATTTAATCAAGTTTTCCTATAAGCATCACTATCTTCAATCTTTTTCACCTTAAGGTTTAAAAATACACGTCTAAAATGGCTGTTTTGGCACATGCCTGCAATCCTAGCACTGTGGCAAGAGAATTTTGAGTATAGCTAGCTGACTACATAGTAAGACTCTGTCTGAAAAATAAAACAAGGAGCTGGAGACATGGCTTCTGGTCAGTGTTTTATCACATCAACAGAAAAACTGACACAGAAATCAGTACCAGAGAGTGGGATATTCTGTAATGGACCTGACCATGTTGCTTTGGGGGAGATAGGGGAGGACTGGGGGGATTAGGGGAATTGGGGAGGATTGTGGAGCTCTGAACTAGAAAAGCCGGTGAGTGCTTAGAGCTTACTGAGCTCGGAAGATAATGCTGAGAGCGATGCAGATTATGGAGACCTACCTTGTGAGCTTCAAAAGGAGGCAAAGACTTATCAGGGCTGTTTGTGTAGTATTAAGAATCTGTGGAAGGGGCTGGAGAGATGGCTCAGTGGTTAAGAGCACTGGCTGCTTTTGCAGAGGACTCAGGTTCATTTCTCAGCACCTACATGGTGGCTAAAAAACATCCATAACTCTAGTTCCAGTGGATCTGATGGCCTCTTCTTGACTCCATGATGCACTTACATACATGCAGGCAAAACATTTATAAAAAAATATATACATAAAGCTTTAGTGGGAATGGTCAGCTGTGATTAGTTAAGAGAGTAGCATCATTGAGGCCAACTGCTCTTGGAAGTATTCCTCAGGGTTAGCACACAGAAGTCGTCATCCAGGAGCATCATGTCAAGCTTAGAAGCCAAACTTAGTAATATTCTAATAGTCTCCCATGTGGTACTAGTTTTGAAGGCATGAAGGAGCCATGAAGAACAGCTGAGGCTTGGCACTGTGAGAGGTCATTTGTGAAGGTGCAGCCTATCAGACAAGCTATGTGTGCTGCAGATGACAGAGCTGGAGAAGTAGGACTACCCAAGCCCTTTGTAGCCCAGAAGATCATTAAGTGAGTCCTAGATGTTGGACATTGAACTTTTTTACACCGTTGGATTTAGGTCTTGCTTTAATCTGACTAAAACTGTACCTGGTTTATCCCTTTTGGAATAAAAAGTATGTTGATCTATTTTTTATTTTACAGGAGCACACAGTTGAGAGTCTTTGGACTTTGAAACTGACACTGAACTTTTAAACTTGAACTTCTTAAAGACTGTGAAATTTAAAAGTTGGACTGTATTTCATATTGTGATATTTATATGAAATATTGGGAATAAACAAGAAAGGTTATGGTTTAGGAGCAATGTGTTTGTGTGCCAAGCTGACAAGGGGTCAATGGTGGTTAGTTTTTGTCAACACAAACTAGAGGTAAAATATCCTACTCTAGCTGCTTTGGGTCAGTGTTTTAATCACAGTGACAAAAAACTGATATAGCTAGGCGTGGTGGCACACACCTTTGATCCCAGCACTTGGGAGGCAAGCAGATCTCAGTGAGATTGAGGCCAGCCTGGTCTACACAGTAGTGTGTTCCACGCCAGCTGGGGCTATAGGCAGACCCTGTCTCAAAGACCCCTCCCCGCCAAAAGTAACTGATTAAATATCCATAACCATCCATCTCACATTAGGAACAACAAAAAGGACCCCTACTTAGTCAGAAAAGTTCTCAACACATGGGTTTGCTTGGAAAGGGATCAATAATGGCAGCATCACTTGGTTTGAAGAATTTAGGGCCATTCTCCAGCTTCATACCAGAATCGCAATCAATCTTTTATTTCAGCTCAGCAAATGTTTTAGTTTGATTTTCTGTTGCTATAATAAACACAATGGCCAAGAACAATTTGGGGAAGAAAGGGTTTATTGCATCTCACACTTCCAGGCAACAGCCCATCATGGAGGGAAGCTAGGGGAGGAGCTCAAGGCAGGAACCTGGAGGCAGGAACTGAAGCAGACCCCCAGAGCATTGCTTACTGGCTTGATCTCTCTGGTTCATGCTCAGCCAGCTTTCTCGTACAGCATATGCCACTTGCCCAGGGGTGGCACTGCCCACCCACATCAACCAGGAATTAAGAAAATCTCCCACAGACATACCCACAGGTCACTCTGATGGAGGAAATTCTTCAGTTAAGGTTCCCTCTTCCCAGCTGTCAAGCTGACAACTAAGATTAGCCATGAGGAAACTTGCAAGCAATGTGAGCTGTGCAACACTCCCATTGTGGTACAGCCAGCAAAAATCTGGACCAGATGACTCAGGGTCATCACTGGGCATGGCTTCCACTGGCCGGTCACTAGCAGCACTGCTGCCACAATCATCTTCAATAGACAGACCTAGTCTTTTGTTTGTTTTTGAGACAGGGTCTCATGTAAGGCTAGCTCAAACTTGCTATGTAACTGAGATTGGCCAGCCTAAGATATCTAAGATCCTGTCTTGCAGGGAGCGGGGGGGGGGGGGGGTGTGTGTGTGTCAATTCTGGCTCAAGCTATCTTTGCTAAAAGTAGTATCTGCCTAAATTTTTATCTCTGAGCTAAAAACAGATTGATGAAGTTCATTCGATTTTTTAAAAGCACAGTATCAGGACCATGAAATTTTTACAGGTTCTGAAAATAAACTGATTTATTAAGAAAAAAAATTGAGCTGGGTATGGTCGCACATGTCTTTAATCCCAGCACTCAGAAGGCAGAGGCGCAGGCAGATCTCTGTGAGTTCAAGGCCACCCTAGTCTACGCAGTAAGTTCTAAGTCAGCCTATGATATATAATGAGACTCTGACTCAACCCACAACAAGGAAAAAGAAAAAAATGGGACTGGGAGGGGGATATAAGAGTAATGGGGTGAAATATGATCAAAATACTTCATGTACATGTATGAAAATAAAAGTATCATAATGAAACTCATCATGTATAATTAATATATGTGAATAAAACAATTTTAAAATTTGAAGCTTAGGGGCCGGGTGTGGTGGCACATGCCTTTAATCCCAGCACTAGGGAGGCAGAGGCAGGCAGATCTCTGTGAGTTCAAGGCCAGCCTGGTCTACAGAGTGAGTTCCAGGACAGGTGGGGCTACAGGGAGACCCTGTCTCCCCTGTCTCAAAAAAAAAATTAAGCTTGGAAAAGTGTTTGTCTAATGTTAAGGTTCAGATAACCCCACCCCCTCACCAATAGGGCCTCACAAGCCCTGAGAAAAGGGAACCAAGTTGATAAGCACCCTGGTCTTTGAAGTCCAGAGAAGCAGACTTTTCTCCACTGTTTGGTCAACACAGCAGGCTTCCCCTTTAACCTCTAAAGCGGGCAGGTTTTAACACTCCAGCTCTCCCGCCACCCGCCCCAACTTTAAAAATTTATCTTCCCTCCTTCTGCAACCCCCAGAAGCCTTCCCCTTTAAAAGACCCCAGCTTACAACCTGGGCAGACATTTTCCCTGCCCGGAAGGGAATCTGTCCCATGTGTTCCATGGTAATAAACTCTATTCCAATGGAGTTTTATCTGTGTCCTGGTGCTTTCTCCCCATCAACCGGATGCATCCATGGCCTACTTTACCTATCATCTAATGTTCATGAAGCCCTGGGTTTGACCCCCCCCAAACTGAATAAAACTGGGTGTGGCAGCAGAGCCTGTAATTCAGAAGGCAGGATCAAGAAGTTCAAGGTCATTCTCAACTATATAGAATCTAAGGTCAGCCTGGGCTACATAGAATTATGTCTCAAGTAAAACAACAAAACAAAAAACCCTACAATAAAAAAGAAAGAAAATTTCAGAAAAATCTGTCAATTTTCAACCATACCTGGTTTTGCAACTCTGGCCTCACAGGGTATGTACCTGGGTATGGGGGTCTAGGTCGTGCAGAATTCCAGTAGTTAGAATTATAGCCAGGATATGGTGACTGGTCCTAAGGAAGAAAGGAAAATAAGTTAATTTAAAATAACATTTTGTAGTTTTGAGACCGTTTCCCTATGTACTCTCAGTGGCCTCAAGCAGGCTACGCTGTCAAGGCTGGCCTCAAGCCTATGTTCCTCCTGCCTCTCCCTCCCCAGTGCTGGAATTACAGGTATGTACCATCATGCCCTACTCACTTTAAAAAAAAAAAATTCTGTGGCTGGGCATGGTGGCACATGCCTTTAATCCCAGCACCTGGGAGGCAGAGCAAGTAGATCTCTGTGAGATCAAGGCCAGCCAGGTGTACATATAGAGTCAAGCCTAGCTGGGGCTACAGGGGGACCCTGTCTCAAAAACACCTTTTTTTACATGTACATGAGTGTTTTGTCTGCATGTATGTATGTGTACATGTGTACAAGTACCAGTGGAAGCCAGAACAGGGCAATGGATACTGGAACTGGAGTTAAGATTGGGTCTTAGCCACCATGTGGGTGCTGGAAACTGAACTTAGGTTCTCTGGAAGAGCAGTAAGTGCTTTTAACCACTAAGCCATCTCTCCAGCCATCCCTCAACTCACTTTTAATAACAGAGAGCAATATATATGCCTCTAACAAGAGGCAGGATGACAGCAATGAACAAGGATAGCAGACAGAACTGAAACCCGAGTATAAAGCCGTATAATCATTGTTAAACTTGTAGAGATACATAGTAAATCACATGCCTTAGAACAAAAGAACTATTGAGTATCTGGGAAAAGCTTGTTCTTATGTGGTATAGCAATGCCACCATTTCAGATGAGACATAAAAGTTCTATGTCAAGATGATTAGCAAAGCCAGAGATGTCAGTTTGCCTTTATTCATTTGTAGTCACTAACTCACCATTATAGGTTAAGCATGCCTAAAGATTTGAAATAGAAACTGCTCTAAACTCTTGATGCTTTTGAGTGCTGTTGACATGACATCCCAGGAGGAGAAATCCACATCTGATGTCATATGATGAGCTGCAGTCAAAATGCAGCACAGGGGTAGAGCTCAGGAGAAGAGCACTTGCCTAGTACATTCAAGGTTCTGGGTTCCATCCTCAGCATAACAAAAGAAATAAACAAAAACATAGGAGTTTTGTTTAAAATACTGTATAAAGTTACCTTCAAGCTGTATGTAAAAGGTGTACATAAACGAATTTCCTGTTCAGTCAGGCTCTGCTTTCAAAATAATTAATCAGGTGCATGCAAATAAATATACGTATAGTATTTTTTTTTTTTTTTTTCGGCTTTTTGAAGCAGGGTCTCCCTGTAGCCCCAGCTGTCCTGGAACTCACTATGTAGACCAGGCTGGCCTCGAACTCACAGAGAGCCGCCTGCCTCTGCCTCCCAAGTGCTGGGACTACAGGCATGCTCCACCACGCCCAGCTAACGTATAGTATTTTTAAAAATCTCATACATGAAATACTGCTGGTCCCAAGCATTTCAGATACACTATTCAGCCTGTATTAACTTCATTTGTTCAGCAAACGCTACTAGCTCCTACTTACAATAATGTTTACCTAACAACTTGGGAACATAAAACTATTACTTCCTGCTTACTACAAGCTCCTTCCTTACCTGGCTACTGGTTAGTTTGTATTGTCAACTTGACACAAATTGGAGTCACCTGAGAACTGCCTCCATCAGATAGGCCTGTGCAGCATCTTTCCATTGCTAATTGATGTAGGAGGGCCCAGCCTACAGAGGTTGACACCATCCCTAGGCAGGTGGGCCTGTGAAAGGAGCTGAATATGAACCTGGGGGGCAAGCCAGGAAACAGCATTCCTCCATAGTTCCCTCCTCTGCTTCCCCCAACGGTGGCCCACCTGGCCACACGCTAGCTTTCATATCCGGTACTCTCTCCTTAAAGCTAAGCTTTCTGTTTGGAGCCTGTAACTTCAGCTTCAGCAGCTGCTATAGAACAATTACCTCCTAAAGGAGTAAGTCTAGCTAGGAGCAAACCTCTTCAGCCTTTGTCTTCAACTAAATTGCAATAAACCAATAAACTGTGGTAATAGTTCTCTAGACCAAGCTTTTCAAAGCACGGATTGGTTTAATACATGTGTTTATTATTTGAAGTTATTTTAATTTGAACTTTATAGTGTAAGTATAGTTTTGGCTTACAATAAACCATTTTTATTTCCTTTAAAGATGAGGGTTTGGGGGGAGGGGTGGTCTTTTTGAGACAGGGTCTCCCTGTAGCTCCAGCTTGCCTGGAATTCGCTATGTAGATCAGGCTGGCCTTGAACTCACAGAGATCCACCTGCCTATGCCTCACCAGTGCTGGGATTAAAGGCGTGCAGTACCACTCCCGGCCCCGGTTTGTAAGTTTTTGTCGTGCTGGAGATCAAACCCAGGGTCTCATCCCTGAGTTTTTAGACATCTACACTCTACCAAGACCTTGAATCCCTGACTAAAGTATATGAGAAGACCAGGGCTGAAGCTGACTCACCCCAGAGGTCTGTCCTTCCCCACTGCTTCTCAGAAGGCTGGGTTTTACCACCACTGTCCACACAGTCCTGTCCTCACTTCTTTCTCATCTTCCTCACGCCGTACTCCCTGGCATAGCCCTCTTCAGATACTCTTTGCAGAATGCAAACCCAGTTTAAACACAAACAGCTCTCTAGTTTCACTTTTTTTTCCAGTATTAGGGATTAAACCCAGAGTTGTGTGCATGCTAGGTGAGTACTCTACCAGTAAGCTCCATCCCTAGACATTATTTAGGCTGGTCTGAAATTTTCTATCCCCAGCCTTCAGCCTCCATAGTAACTGGGTGTATTACAGTTTTATGTACCAGGACACCTGATTCTCTGGTCTCATTTCAGACTTACTACTATAAATCTCAGGCAGGCACTCAGCACGGCTAGTGAGTACATACACTCCTTAGCAAGGTTATCTCACTCTCCAGAACAATTTCACTTTTTTTTTTTCCTTTGTTTTCTTGAGACAGGGTCTCTCTGTAGCTCCAGCTGCCCTGGAACTCACTGTGTAGACCAGGCTGGCCTTGAACGCACAGAGATCCACTTGCCTCTGCCTTGCCTGGCTCGAACTTCACTTTTCTTTAAACATTTTATTGTTTTAATTTTATCTCTGTGAGTGTATTGGCTCCATGTGTGTAAGTCCACCCATGTCGTGCAATGCCCGCAGAGGCCAGAAGAGGGCATCAGATCCCCTGGAACTGAAGTTACAGAGGGTTGCTAGCTGCCATGTGGGTGCTGGGAACCAAACCTGGGTCCTCTGCAAGAACAGCCAGTGCTCTTAAGCACTGTGCCATCTCTCCAGCCCCTTGCCCCCGCACCCCCCAAAAAAGTTTCTTAAATCAGTGGCTGAGGGTATAAGTGAGTATACACACAGAAAGACCTGGGACATCTTGTAAGAAATCAGAAGAAGCTGTCAAAAAATCAGTGGGTCATGTCCAAAGGCATTAGAAGCCAAGAAGAAGGGGCTCATTGCATAGGCATTTAAAAAAACAACAAAAAACCTGATTCATTAAAGTACATTGGATATATTGAATACTTGCAGTACAAGCAGCATACAAATGAATTAATAATCAGTAAAAGGAGAAGCACGCTCTGTTTCTGCAACTTTAGCAGGGTTTAGAAATGAGAAAATTAAATCCTAAAATTCTTATTCCTTTAAAAATTAGTATCTAGGGGCCGTAGGTGGCTGCTCAGCACCTAAGAGTGCACACTGCTCTTGCAGAGGACCCAAGTTCAGTTTCTACCATGCAGTGGAAGGCTCACAACTACCTGTAACTCCAGCTCCAGGGGGAATCTGATGCCTCTGGCCTCTGTGGGCACCCAAACTCATGTGCCCAAATCCACGAGCAAACACATACTGATTGAGAAATATTAGGTCCTGAATGCTCCTCACATAACTGCCACTCTCTGGTCGCGTGACAGCAGCTCACAACTCCCACCTCACTGGTCCCCTGCTATGACTCAATCCCAATCACAGGGCACCCCCAGAACCAGAGTCCAACTGACTGCAGATCATCCAACTGCCCTCCCTAAAATGGTGAAGCCCACCCTGTACCTGTCCTTCCCAGTAAGACCCACATTCTACCCAAACCCCTTTCCCTCCATGAAGGAAGAAAAATATAAAAACCCTGAGTCTGTAAGAGGTTGCTCTCTAGATCCTAGGTCAGGAGGAGGGTCACTCTCAATTTTATCCTCTGCCCTAATAAACATAGAAAAGCAAACTATTCCGAAGAAGAAATACTTTGGGAATTCACAAAAGGAATGATAGGAGCTCAAAAGTGTGGAATAACTCAAGGGCAACCACCAAAAAGAAACCCAGCCCTCACATCCCTCTGCTTCCCTGGGCTGCACAACCCGTCAGCCTCTTTCCTGGACACTGCCAGCCTCTTTCCTGGATACCAGGGCCAACCTCTCGGCCTAGGGTGACCACTGCTTCCTGATCCCTTGCATCCAGAAAAACCCAGTTCCTCAGTGTAGTCCCCAGGAGCTCTTGGGGCCCATTCCCACCCCCATCTCCCTTTGCATCTCTGGGTGGTACGGCCACCAGCTGTCTGAGACCAGCATTATTCCTGGGCCCTGCTCCCAGGCCCGTCCAACCTCCAAATTCCTGAGGGCAAAATCTTTCCTGGAGGGATCCAGACCTTAGGAGAAAGACTGAGAGCATCTGATCCTCATCTGACTTGGGCCTCTGTGGGAACTCCTGAAGACAAAAACAATCTGGCCACTCCAACATAAAATCAAAACAGAGAACCGGAAGCTTAGATGAACTAGACTTTCAAGCCCAAAAAGTAAACCACAAAGGCATATAAGAAGCAGACCTAAACTTGAAGGCTTGAGTCCCACACAAGAATCGGAAACTACAAAAGAAATTCACATGTCAAAATCACAAACAAAACATAACTTGAAAAACCAAAATAATATATCCCAACCAAATACCAAGAGTCCTCTACCCGGAAGCTTAGATGAACTAGACTTTCAAGCCCAAAAAGTAAACCACAAAGGCATATAAG